GTCGACTTAATAGAGCTATTATAGATAGCCTTTTTACCTAAAACAACGCTCAACTCGATGGTATAGGGCTGAAAACCGATCTCCTCCTCCTCCGCCTCCTCTACCTCCTCCTCCTCCTCTACCTCCTCCTCCTCCTCTTCCTCCTCCTCCTCCTCCTCTGCCTCCTCCTGTTCCTCCTGCTCCTGCTCATCCTCCTGCTCCTCCTGCTGAGCTATAGAGCCATCGTCGTCACTCAATAGAGGCTCTGGACTCTCTGAGGCAATAGAGATAGCCTTCTCTTGATGGAGAGAGACAGAAATAACAGAGGAGGAAGAGGAGGATTGAGCAGCCTGTGGTTTTTTCATCGAGAGCACTAGGCGTTTCGCAGGCTGCGCAGCCTTTTTCGAGCGCTTCGACTGCGTAGGGGGGGGCGGCGGGGTACTCAACGCAGGCTCATCGAGGCGCTGAGGGGCTTTGCCTGCATTTGAACGCTTACTGCGGCTCAACACCATGGTTTTCTATCCTGAAACTCAATAAGGAGATGCAGAGTACACAGCTATTGCTAAATTGAGCATTTACAAGCAAAATCTACGTCTATTTACCACGCAGTTGGCGATTCCGCCTTTTGACCGCTTTTTTGCCCCGCCAGCACAGCAATTTTTGGGTCGCGCCAAGGAATTGCAACACTTTTGGAACGGGCAGTACTTCAAATTCATAGTAGAAAAGGTTGTACAGTACTACAATCACCACAAAAATAAGAGATGTCTGTTCGATCTTCAGTGGCTATATATATATTTATGCTTTTGAGGAAGTCTCAAGCTCTTTTATATATATAGATAACTTTTCAAGCTATTATCAACACTATTATCCCCTTCCTTCTGTAAAGAAGGGGGTTTTTGTTTTTTGGGGGAGGGTGTGGATTTTTCGTCCGGGGGAGGGGACCAAAAAAGGGCACCCCCCTTTTAACTCACCCTTCCTCTCTTCTCCAGGGACTCCTTCCCTTTTAAAGAAAGTGTCAAAGTTAGTATGTATTGAACGTTGTAAGTAATTAAGTGTGTGTAGTAATAATGACAGAGCCATGCTCACACAGTGCGCCATTCCGTCCCCCGACTAGCTTGGGAATGCCTTCGACTGTGCCTGGGAACGCCTCCTGTGCCTGGGCCGTGCGTACCAGAATGGATATCCTTTTCCTACCAGAGCACTACGTTCATTTGCGCAGGTAATTGTTCGTCAGCGACCTTCAACATTCCAAACTCCTGGGTCGGTGCCGACGGTAGTGCTCAGCCGTCAAAGAATGGGTATTTTGGTTCTTCTGCGCCACCACCATCTTGTAGTCCGCTGGGGTACACGTTGCACCTTGTAGATGAAGTGGGGCAAGTTCAGAGAAGTAAAACGATTAGAGGTGGATAGATCAGAGGGAGGGTGAGGTGCTGCTTCACGTAGTGGCGGTCGATGGAATCTGATGTGGTGGATGAAAGCAATGGGCAGAGACCACTGCATCTTTATAGTTGAGAGGAGTTCCATTACTACGGTCGTTGACAGGGTGCGGAACAGCGTTTCGAAGGGAGCCGTTTCTGGCGCCTGAGAAGCCACAGGCTAGGGAAGGGGGAATGTTTTTGAGGATGCAAAATTGGTTAAATTAGCATAGGTGACAGAAAAGGTGGTGCTACGTCACATGACCCGCGGTGCAACAGGTGTCGAAAGCAACGGCAAAGGCCGCCTAAAACGGCGTCGGATGTCCCTGAACATACTACGTAGAGTTAGTGTGTAGTCTGGCTGCCGGTGCGTTGCCTCTTCTGGTTTAGCTTAAACCGATCGGACAACGCAGCCCCTCGCCGCTTAGCCCGGGTATAAGAGCCCGCTACTCCTCGACCTCTCTCATCGTCTCTTTCTGGCCTTTTTTGCTGGTTACTACGTCGTCGCTTTCGGATCTCGCAGTGTTATTAAAAAATTTAATGTTCTTTAACGACGTTAGGTCACGAAAAGACTAAATCCCTCAAAGTAATGATACCAATTCAGTGAGACAAGGGATCCAGGGCGAACCTACTAGTAGGCTACAATTGTGCTTGGCACTTCGTCTCTCCATTCCTTCCGGGTCAGGACCATCGCTTCTGCTTACTATCTTCGATGCCAAAGTCCAGAATCAGTATGTGTCAATCCAAGAGATGACAAGGAGGCGAGCAGTGAACGTCTGCTCTGCATGTCACAAACGCAAGACTCGCTGCGACCTGGATACTACCAAAGCTCCATGCTCAAGATGCTCGGAACTCGGAGAGATTTGCGTTCTTCGCACCAGAAAAGCCTACAGGTGAATCCGTCCCCAAGTCTTCTCGCTTCTCTAACCCCACGTGCAGTGCCCGAGGAAGAAGAGTTGGTCGTTCGATTACCATCTCTAGTGAAATAGAGCACAGTGCTACACTCGGCAGAAGCTCTGTCCCACATATTGAGCAAGCACAGATTGTTGCGGCATCCATCACACAGCCGGGTCCGCAAGCCGTGCCACTGTTCGTTGGTGAAGGAGGCTATGGCGATATATTGGCTGCTACGGGAAATGTGGACCATCGCCATTTCATAGTGCCTGGAGAGGCGGAGAAACCCCTGGCACCCGAAGACCTCGCTTTTCTCAAAGTCAAGGGATGTTTTTCACTCCCCGCCGAAAGCGGGGAACTGATCAAGGCGTATTTTCAATATTTTCATCCTTCATTTCCAGTCCTCGATGGACCATCGTTCTTGCAAGAGTACGCCAGTAGCGGTCTGAATAAGATCAACTTGCTCCTTATTTGGAGCATATTCTCCATCTCTGCAAGCTATCTTCCGATCCAGTCACGAAGGGCCACCAAGGAGGTGTGCGTTCAACGAGCAAAGCTTCTGTTCGATCTCACCCACGAAAGTGACAAGATCGTCCTTATTCAGTCGGCACTTCTTCTCAGTTTCTGGTTTGTCGACGCAGAAGACATCAAGCAGTCATGGTATTGGTCTGGCATCGCGTTTGGGATTGCCCAAACACTAGGTCTGCACCGGGCACTGGACGTTGGCCTTCCACAATCTTCGATGAGGGAACAGATTCTATGGAGAAATATATGGAGGTGCTGCATGTTCCGAGACGTGTGGCTGTCGTATGGAATGGGCAGACCATTAAGGATTAACGCCACCAATTGCAAACGCTCTGAGCTTCCATTTTCAGAGAATCATGTTCAGGGCATAGCTTTTGACGGAGTAGATCTCTACACACCTGCAGAGGCAGCAGGATTCATGAAGATGTGGCAGGTCTTAGTGGGAGTCGGTACTACTTTACGCGCAATAATGTCAATCGGGCAAGACCTATCCCCTGCTCAGACGAAGAGCTTCGGAATCCAAATATGTCCACAGTCCGACTGGGAGCAAACACTACTTCTGACCGTCGTCAGTCGGCAGTTAAGACTTCATCAAAATGCTGCCCTGAGCGCACTATATCGGTCTAGTGATGATAGAGAAAAGCTGGGAGCTGTGGCCGCAGATACTACGTCAGTTATACATGCGTGTCTTGATGATGGGACAACTGACTATGTCGCTCCGACTACAATACCTCTCGTTGTACCGGCTATGCTTGTGCAATTGAAGATGCTCAAGTCTACGGAGCTGAAGTCGAGGAAACAAGGTGAAAGCACCCTTGAGCTATACTTTCGGTTCTTAACTGCCATCGAAGACAATTACCCTGCGGCATCAATTGTGAAGAGGCTTTTCGCCGCTGCACAAAATTTCATCTTCCGGAGCGACTCGGGAACAATTCATAAGGACCAGTTGACTAGTATCCCAAGTCCACTTGTGTCTTTCCCGTCTTCTCAGCAGCTTGAATATGATCATTTCCAGGGATTTGACTATTAGCAAGCCTTATTAACCAGTGGTCTCTGACATAGAGGCGGTAAAATCACCTCATAGACGCCAAACATGCAAATTCTCGGCAGCATGCTGCGGCAGCACCACAACAGGGATTATCGCAGCCAGCCACACGGACTCGCAGGCTCTGACTTTTGCCAAGTCATGCCGAAATGCCGAAATGCCAAAATGCCGAAATGCCGAAATGCCGAAAGTGCCGAAAGTGCCGAAAGTGCCGAAAGTGCCGAAAGTGCCGAAAGTGCCAGCTGGATTCTCAAACCTCTCTTCGCGAATTTACATCCTTGCCAATCCTTGTTAAGTCGAGGCATGGCTGCACTATTGCCTCGCTTACACTACTACCACAATAGACTTGTTACCAGAAGATGGTCAGGCACTAAGGATGAGAATTTGAAGGAACACCCTCAATGAGCCATCCTCGTGTTAGTCACCTAGTTCGCAAATATGGTGGATGATCAGTTTGAATACGAAGGAACATCCTCTGCTCATTCCGGTATTTTCGCTATTTTCGGTATCTTCGACACTCTTGGGAATCTCAACTGTCCCTTCCAGAGTTAGTTTCAGTGAGGAATGGTAGGCAGTATATCTATGGACATGAACCGCATTCTTTCGAAGCGTAACAGCACGCTTTCAACAATGAAACTCCAATACCTCGTCACTTTGTGCACAGTATTCTCTGCAGCAAGCATATCGGTCGCCGCACAATCAGCGCAAGAGCTTCTCGATTCTGTCCTGAACCCGGATCCTGCCGATGCAAGCTATTCTTCCTATGCCTCCCAGATCTACTACAATGCAACACTATACAACCAGACCCCCATCGCATCAACAAACTTCGACCGGCTAGAGGCGTCGGCAAAGCTGCTTCTACCTGCTACGGCATACAACTATGCAGCCGGAGGCGCTGGACTTGAAAAGACAGTTGCTGCAAATCGAGAAGCATTCGACTTTGTGAGACTCTTTATATCCCCTCTATGGACAGAGCTCACATCTCTTAGTGGCGTATAATCCCCCAAGTAATGCACGATGTGTCTCCCAGTCGCAACCTAAGCACCAGCTTGTTTGGTAGAAGAGTACCAGCACCAGTTGTGATGGCACCAGTGGGTGTTCAAACACTGTTTCATCCCACAGGAGAGCATGCAACAGCCAAAGTCTTCGGCGAGATGGGCCTGCCATATACCCTCAGCACAGCAACGAGCACAGGGTTCGCCGACGTAGCCAAGGCAAACGGCAACAACCCGCGGTGGTATCAACTGTATTGGCCCAGCGATGATGATCTCACACGTTCCTATCTACGGTCAGCGAAACAGAACGGATACGAGGTTCTCGTCGTGACTGTCGACACATGGGATCTAGGCTGGAGGACACGAGATCTGGACCAGGGCTACTTCCCGTTCATCAGGGGCATTGGAGTACAGATTGGTCTTGAAGATGCTTGTGTCCATGAGAAGCTTGGTTTCAACCCATTGGCCCCCAATGCGACGGCCGAACAGAAACAAATGGCGGCGTTATATCATGTCATCACGACTTCGCGGGGTATCTCTCCTGTTTGGAGGCATCTGACCAAGTTGAGGGACTGGTGGGGTGATAGACCGATTGTTCTGAAAGGGATACAGTCAGTGGTAGATGCAGTGAAAGCGGTCGAGTATGGTATGGATGGTATCATTATCAGCAATGTGAGTAGTTGCTCTTGTGGGAGGCTCGGCGACTGATGAACCTGTAGCATGGAGGACGACAAATAGACGGAGCTATCGGGTCTCTTGAGACTCTCCCAGCCATTGTTGAGGCAGTCAAAGGGAAGATTACGATTGGATTCGATGGTGGCATACGATCTGGAGCAGACATGTGAGTATCTTGACGTCCTAAAATATCTCGCTGACCTCGGCAGATTCAAGGTTATTGCACTTGGTGCGGATTTTGTCCAGCTTGGTCGACCAATACTTTGGGGCTTGGCCCATGAAGGGGAGAAGGGAGTTCGGCATGTATTGAAGTCTCTACTGGCAGAATTCGATTTGACTGTGGGACTGTCCGGATGCCAGGAATTGGGAGACGTGAATTCAACCCTCCTCGCGGCAAGGTAGTTGATGCTAAGACTGGTGTTCTTTTCGGTACTGATAAGCAACTTCCTGCTGTGCCTAACGAAAGCCATGTTAGGCGCGCAAGCGTCTCCAGTATCACGAAACAAGGGGACGTTTCCTGCTCGGGACTCTTTCTGACTTTCCGGTTCATTCAACATCCACTAATTATCGGCGACTTGTGTAGCTCTTTCGCCCCAACCACAGACAGCTTCTTCAATGTTTCCCTGATTGTCCTTGATGGCATCTCCGACCCGAGCTCTGCGGCACATCAGCTCGACCCCGGGCTCAAGCCAATAGCTCTGCTTTGCTCAGCGCCCCAAGTTCTGCTGCTTCACTTCCCTCGAGGGTTCGACGACTTCCTTGTCGACAGCCTCGGGCTCGGGTCAACTGCTGACATTTTTCATGGTTTCAACCAACAAGACTCCGTCAAGCATCCTAAAAGTAACGATGTCCTACGGATTCGACACAAAGCGCGACGAGGCATATACCATTGCGCCTTCGTTGTCGTCGCGTGCGGAGGAGAAAGTGAAGAACCCATCGCCTGTTCACGATTTAACGTCATCGGAGTCTTCTACGGGAATTCTTGGAAGACCACCATCTCCGGACAGTAAAGAGAACATGTGGCTTGCTGATGTACCCGAGCGTGGTTCGAAATCTCCAATCCGATTTCGGTCCTGTAACAGCACAGTCGTCGACTCTACTGAACAAGATGACGATAATTGTGACTCTTCCCGCAGCTCATTCGTTCACCCTTGTCAGACTGTATGTCTACCACCGATGCGGGGGATGCGGCGGTTGTCGATGAACGTGAGTCGAGTCGACCTTCCAGGATGCAGGTCGGTAAAAGGTTTGTGCTCATGTCTCAGCTCAGGCACAAACCATCTGCAAGACGCCCACTCAGGAACCCGCAGCAAGCTACAGATACGCCTCCGAGTCGAAACACCAAGCCGTAGATCACGTTGCGTCTTTCGGCGCCGAAAAAATGTCAGGTGAAAAAGCCATAGTAGCGAAAGCGTCCGTGGAAGAAGAGGTCTGCTCGAAGACACTGAAAGTGTGGCTGTCCTTTGAATGCACTGGGTACTAATGCGAGGTTTTCCAAGCTGGTGAATTTCTCCTCCAACGCGGAAAGTTCCCCTCTATACCGTGGAGCTGGGTGCCTGTGGCCGTCTCCAACGAGTGCAGCTGTTGGTTGAGGCCACTTTCAAATGTTGGAAGACTCATCTGTAAATGCGAAACGCATTGATTTACAATTCTTACCAGGTAACAGATCCAACCATTGTTTACGAAGGTCCTGCTGCTCGTGCTTTTGTATGTTTTGCTCCACTGTAACCAAAGTCACTGTTACAGCTGTACATTAGCAACGCATTGCATGCATTGCTGTCTTACGACAAAGTAGAGCACTGTCATATCTTTGCTACCTACTGTCTCTTCTCTGGAGCAGATCCTTCTCATCTTTTGACATTGCCATTCGTTTCAGTTCCGGAGCATGACAGCCACAGCATAAGCTACGACGCATCTCCAGCCTCAGCTCATGGTGTTCACGTTCCCGCCGCTTCATCAACCGTTGTTTGAAAGTCTACATGTGATATCGAGAATTGTGGCGTTTTCCTCTCCTCCAGCAGTCTACGTGGTACACAATGCTGAACTCGCTTAAGGCTTGGAAGAGGTAGTTGTTTCTGGACGTACTATCTTCTGGTTCGCGACACGGCTAGTGTGTAACGAGTTACCTTAGAACAAGTAGGTTACACTAAGGGCGTAGACACCGTTAACCTCATCGAACATGACATGTATACCCCAAAGTGTGAAGGAAATTCGGTTGGTGACACCCCTCACTTGCGTATTCCATCTTTCAGCTGTCAATGATAATGCTTCCGCCGTCATCTCTCCCACAATCTTTGCAATCATGGCTGTGTCCGGTGCGGTATCAAGCTCGCACTTAAGTGTTATCTTGAGCCCTTCTCTTTCCTCGGACCTTTCGAATACCTTAGGAGTGCTTTCCATGGGAGCTGAGAGTGGGAATCGATAGGACCCCAACTCTAGTAGTGGTAATTTTTACGCTATGTCCGGACATTAGAAATAATGACCGGAAAAAGGTAAATAGCCGAAATAATAGGCGTACCTGCTAGGGAATGGACTGCAGTGACTTGGTGTCTAATATGGCTGAATAAACAGAAGCAGGTTTGCTTGCGAGAGGACGTTTCTTTGGATTGTAGGTTTATCTAACTTCCGCGTAGAGAGAGCCATACTTATAGACATCAATCTATATCCCAGTGACCCACTCACCCTGGATCGTATTGGTCAAAGATAATTCCACAACTCTTTCACACTAGAGTTGTCTTAGTCCGCTACACTACCAGTTTTGTCAGTGGTCACGCCATCATTGAGTGGTTGAAAGTCGTTTATGTCAAGGCACGGAAGAAGGATTCAAACGCCATCTAAGAGAGCGTGGATTATTCGCAACATTTTGTGGGTTGTGTTCAGGCGCCAAGCTTATAAATCAATTTGGTCTCCGAAAGTACTAGTAGGTGAATAACGCTAAAATAATCCTGAAAGCCAGGAGTTATAGTGTAGACTGAAGCCTGGAGCCTACTACGGGAGGGGCCTGAAGTATTGTTAGTCTGGAGCTAGGAGCAGCTAGTTCTTATTACAGTAGGATAGTCTCAGGATTCGTCAGTTGAAAGCTTGTTCTGTGTGCCTCTATTCTGACGAGTCAAATCATCACAGCTAGCTTCTTTAGCATAGCGGCTCTGTACAGAGACGGTTTACAAGCAAAGATACTAGCGCTGAGCTAACAATACCTCAGGCCCCCCCCGTAGTAGACCCACGTCAAGGTACTTGCAGGTGTGGCTTAAGCAAACAGGGGGCCGAAGCTTGGCGCCAAAATTCTGTGCAGTTAAGGATTCTGCATTTCTATCTACTCCCTCTAATAGGGTATGGCCTTCCCAAAACGCTCTTGCAAACAAGTTACTCTATCTGGCATGGTAGAGATAGCATTGTTGATCTCCTCAATGCTGATTTTATCCCATTCCTCCTGGATAGCAGCCTTCAGCGCCTCAGTTTGGAAGATGACCCCCCTATTCTTCAAACGCTGCTTGATAATGCGCCAAATGGTCTCAATAGGGTTGAGATCTGGCGAATTAGAAGGCTGAGCTTGCCACTTGATGTTAAGCTTGATCTTGGCTTGCTTAGCCTTGTTATTAGCCTTGCCCTTCGTACCATGTGGTCCATCATTATCTTCGATCAAAATGAGATTTTCGTCCCATTCTGGAGCAACAACCTCCTCCAAAATCTTCACATAATCAGCTTGGATAAGCCTTCCGCCTTTCCCTGTGCCTGTATAGAAGTGGAGGGTACCCTTGAAGTTCCAACTGATGGTTGCAAAGACATGGATAGTCTGGTTTTTGCGCTTGAGTTTGTATTGGGTTTTTGAGAGCTTTTCTTGATTCTCCTAGCCACAGCGACGATGAACTAAGGCCTGCCATTGAAGGCCAGTAGCAAAATGAGACTTATCACACCACTAATACTTTTTAAAGTCTTCTAGGTTATAATAGTAGTGTTCAAATGCCTAAAGATTGCGTACTTCAATCGAATGCTCTAGGAGCCATTTCTTCTGCAATGCACAGTATGTTCTTATACTAAAATCTGCTATATTTCTTTGAATAGCACGTTCAGATCCTGTTGCTAGACCAATATCCCTTGCTACCCTATAGTGACTTGAAGAAGCAAAGAAGAAATTAGCATCTTTTACTGCTTTAATTGCTGCGCATTAATGATCTTCTAAAATTCGCTTTCGACCTCTATTATGAACGCCAGGGCCACGGCGCATAGTTCCTTGCTTTAGGATCTTATAACCAGTTCTCTGGGCTACATTATGTATCTTAAATAGCTCTTTCCGAGGCATTTTGCCTGCGTAAGCTCGTGCATCAGCAAGGAGCTTCGTACGCCGCGGAGTGTCAAGAATAGTTTGGGGGGCTCTGGGGGCCTGAGGAGACGGAGGATTCGAGCATACGCTGTTCGCAGGGGCGCGCCGGCGACGGGGGATCTCTGTGGCCATTTTGAGCTATTTCTGTTCAAAGATGGTGGAATAATAAGTAGTAGAAGGCAAGGGGTATAAAGGAGGAGGATCCTTAACTGCACAGAATTTTGGCGCCAAGCTTCGGGCCTGAGTATAGGCGGTCACAGCTTAGAGAGAGACCTAGACAGCCCCCTATGTTTAAATGGCTTGTAGAGGCTTTCTTAGTATGATGCACCTACAACGTAGTACACTCCAAGTATTAGACACTAGCCACTACTAGTAAAGTCTTATCATTAGTGTAATTCAACTCCATTTTGGGCACCACTCTAGGCAGCGATTGAGCTGACTTGTTTTCAGCTGAATTGTAACTAGTGTCTTACCACATCACCAATAGCCTTTTGGCATCGAATGAGCGAGCCTTCCGCGTAATGCTTAGTTCCAGCAAATCGCAAAGTGAGACACTGGAGTACTTGACGACGGGAAGATGTGGTCTATACGCCATTGTATAGATGGCCGTCTGAGCATAGCAAACTCAATTTAGTACACTGATCAAAGAACGTTGAGGCCTAAAAATCCTCATCAAAATCAATGGCTGCAGCCTTTCAGCTGACATGCTGCAAGCTGAGCAGATGTTTGGCGGCGAGTGGTCCATGTGCATTAATATTCCGGGAAGTAGCTTTGGGCTTTGCCATATCATTGAATGACAAAGACGATGGGCCAAAGATCTACCAGTAGTAGTCTGGGTCAGATTGCACAAAGGCGTATACGGCCATAGTGGTGCCAACTGTGGAGTCCCTGCATGCCATTACTCCAGACCGCGGAGAGATGCTCGTAACCAGATCGATTCAATGTATGTTTGCGATATGTCGTTTCACTCCTTCTTACACAGGAAGTGTTGGCCAGCTATCTCATATGTGCCCGTAAAAGGTCATTGGCGATCATTGGTCATGTTCCATTTCATGCAGCAGATCAATTGCAGAACCATCTGCCACCAATATCTTGATGGGTGGTAGCGCGTACATGAAGCCAGGTGCTAATCTTCGTCAAAAGGACATACGTAGTACACCAATTCTGGTAGCCACACTAAACAGTTTGCCAAGTCAACAGTGACACTGCCGAATCAAGTTAACGTAGGCATCGTCCTGTGGCCTCGAACTTCAGCTCTGCTTATCACAATATCCGACCCAGCTACCATGTGTTAGCCGCGAACGTCCGTTTCCTGTTCCTCATGTGAGTGGGTAACTCTAATATGCTCTAGGTGTGTGGTGTGTGCGACTTCAGCTCTGCATTTTCCAGTTCTTTAGCCGCATCCACTTTACCGAGGCGCTTGAAGGTTTATGACTAATCAATTACAGGTATAGTGGTAATCTAGCGCTTATGTATACGCACGGAATAGTCAGCCTCGGATTTTAGCAACTAACCAATGGTTTTCGGTTGCCCCATCACTGCCTGTGAGTCTCCACAACGGTGAGATCAAATGACGCAGAACACAGAGTGTATTGGGCAATGAGAGAAAAGCCACCAGGAAACAAACGAGTGGTCGAGTGTCAGACGAGAGCTGAAGAGCTTGATCCCAGATCAAACATAGCAATCGGGCTGTACATTTTATTAATGATCGCAGTTGGCATCTCGGCTAGACACAAATCCCTGGAAAGGTATTTAAGTAACGCTTGCCGGCTACGCGGGAACAGACATGCTTCGAATTCACAGTATCGATAAGTTGAACACCTGGCCACTTCTATTCATGCATACCTGAAGAACCTTCCACAAAGACCATAATGTTCTTTTTCCATTCTATTATCCTCGGGCTTCTAGCAGTTACATACAACTTGCAGAGCGGCGTAGCAGCCCGCGCTCTAATTGTAACGACGAGGTCCACCGACATTACCTGCGGAGGCCAATTCCCAAAAGCAGGCGACGGCTTTGCCCAGCGCCCAGACGGCTGTTCAAGCTGGAGCGACAACCCGAGCCAGGTGCGCGACAAGTGGGGAAGTGCAAATTTCGAAGGGGTCTGCGACGATCATGACCGCTGCTACTACACGATCGGTGCCAACGTCGACGGATGCAACAGCAACTTCTGCGGTGGCCTCAGAAAGGCATGTCATAAAGCCTATTGCAAGAAGCTCCTCGGTGTAACGTTGTGCGAGCCCGTGACCTACGGGACTTGTACGGCGATTGCAGAAACGTATTGCGCTGCAGTCAAATCAGTGGCGGCTGGGGTATATGCAAAAGCGCAAGACTCTCAAAAAAGATACGACACTTGTATCGCGGAGAACGGTGGAATCACCCTGCCGCCGCCTCCAGTGTCGTGCAGTAATGGACAGCCCGAAGGCGCGACGTGGGAGAAAAGCCTACACGGCATGAAATGCAGTACCACTAGATATGTTTGCCGCAACGGCAAAATCACCGTGACCAGCTCCCCGTCCTTTAACTGCATCGAGCCGTGAGAAGGGCTTGAGGCAAAACCCTCCCCCCGTGGTGGATTGAGTTCAAGATACCTTGAGTTCTAAACAACTGGCAGTCTATAATATTATTATCTTTCCAATTTTACTGTGCATTGTTGGCATCATACCGAGAATTGCTGGCGCCGCGTGTTAGAATCCCTGCGTTTATGATACGTATCTGTTACGTACTAGCATGATGGTACAAGGTCCCCGCATGCAAAACGCACGAAACGCTCTTGTAACTGTTACGCCCTGTTATTTATGGCAGTGAGCATTGCTATACGAATTGAACGCCAAATGCTGTTTCTGAGCTGTTACAGTAATGCGCTTCTATAGCTATTAGTATGAGCAAATACTCCTCTTGATAGGAGTAACTCAATCAATTCAATTGGTATCTCCGTACGCTATTTGCTACATCCTCTAACACCGCGTTCGCAAAGAAAACAGCTCTTGAGAGTCAATGATGGATTGTATTGTAAAGATGATATTCCAAAATGATACTGAGCTTCTCCTAATTCTAATAATCTCTTCTCTAATGTGAATCCACCGCCAAGCTCGATCAATTGGCTGAAATGTGTTATAAGCTTAAATCTGCGGTCCGTGATGCAGTGGACGAGTGGAATTCCATCTACCTGCAGAATCTATCTCTAGAAGGAGGAGGCTAATACTGCTGCGCAGAGTACGGTCACGTGATGCCAAGGATTTGGCTGTATGCGTAGGGCCAATTCTAACACTCCCATATTAGCTGTGCATGCCTTCTATAGAGATATGTTGACCTTCTGAGAGGGCTAATTGGCCGCGTTTAATATGCGTAATCCCTGCGTTTCTGCTGCTTCTAATTGGTCAATTTCCGACGCAATTTCGCTTCTAATTTCGCTGTACGGTACAGCCAATTGTACATAGATCTACGCTCTCTACCCCCGTAGCTATCAATCAACTTGCTTTTCTACGCACTCTGCACAGCAGGTTGACAAGATAGAACTGCCAAAAACGCTCAAATAGGCAATTGAGTTGCTAAATGTAGACATTCTAGACGTTGATGCCTTGTAGATTAGGGAATTAAATCTAGCGCTTAAACTTAACGCGTTCGGAAGGTACTATTGGAGATGGCAATCTCTTCGACCTTGGTATGCGATGTTAGGTCTGCCGACTTCACCGCGTAGTAATTGACTAGATTCTGTAAATCCTTTGTGAATGTCCTTATCAACTCTTCAACTTTGCTCTCCTTGTCCAGTCGCCGAGACACCACGTGACACCGCTCTTGCCACCTGTCATCCTTGCGCGAGATCGCCTCTTGGAAGATAATGTCCAGTTTCTCGGCTCTCCTCTTGTAATTGTCAACAGTCTTTACCAGATCTTGCCTTTGTCAGAATCCCTGCGCATACGATACGTATCTGTTACGTATTAGCAGGATGATACAGGGGTCCCCGCATGCGAAACGCACGAAACGCTCTTGTAACTTTTACGCCCTGTTATTTATGACAGTGAGCATTGCTATACGAACTGAACGCCAAATGCTGTTTCTGAGCTGTTGCAGTAATGCGCTTCTATAGCTATTAGTGTGAGCAAATGCTCCTCTTGATAGGATTAACTCAATCAATTCAATTTGGTATCTCCGTATGCTATTTGCAACAACTTCTAACAGCCTTGATCCTTTCCTTTCTATTTCTTGACGCATGAACAAGCGCCCCCTGGGGAGTCGCGGTATACGCAGGAAAAAGTATCAAGAAGGGAACTTGTAGCTGTTATTGTCCGCCAGGAAAGGTTGCCATGTCTACAACCCACTAGTGATAGAGAATCAGAAAGATGTTGTCAATATTTATTACTGGCTTCTCTTGAGTGGTGCGATGTAGACACGAACTTCTGTAGACATGAGTTTCAGTCGATGCAGCTAAGCAGGTAGCTGATGAGAAGATAACACCTGGAAGTGTCTTGCTGATTCTCGGAGGAAAGTAATTCCGGAATGACCGCGGCCACGGTGGCCGCCAAGGCCGCCAAGGCTACGTCATCGGCATCATCAAGCTCTTTCCGACACTTTTCAACAGATTCAGCGAATCTTGTTCATACTCAGATGTGATAACTGCCTGTCAGTATCAGAGCTGAAACCTGGGGTATACGAAGGATGCTGCGTGGATAAGAGAATCGGCCCCCGGTTGGGCCACTCACATGTGATATGCCAGCTTCCACGTGTGCTTACGTTATTGCCCTCACTCTGCGTGATCTCGGCGTAACTGTTATTTTTGGTCTGGTGGGCATTCCTGTCGTTGACATCGCCGAGGAGGCCATCAACTTGGGCATTCGCTTTATCGGCTTTCGGAATGAACAGGCTTGCAGCTATGCGGCTGGCGCTTATGGCTTTCTGACAGGCAAGCCAGGCGTCTGCTTGCTAGTGGGAGGGCCAGGTGTCCTCCATGGATTGGCAGGAGTGAGTATTACCTTCGGGGTGAAGATGATAGTCATGTTGACTGCTGGGCGCAATAGATTGGTAACTGCTCGGCTAACGCTTTCCCCTCCTTATTTCTGGCGGGCTCTTCAGAAACGAATTTAGTGGGCAAAGGTGCATTCCAGGAATTAGACGCAGTCTCATTTCTCACACCTCACACCAAGCTCGCCGTTCGGCCCTCCTCGAAAGAACCTGATGCTGTAGCAGACGCCATTCGCAGAGCTTACCACAGCTGCTGGGCAGGGAGGCCAGGTCCCACCTTCGTCGATTTGCCTGCAGACCTCATCATGGATGAGGTTTCCCAATTACCCAAACAGCTTTTAGCAGCGCAAATGCAGTCACCAGCAAAACCATATCCCGATCCTACCATTGTATCTGAAGCGGTGAAACTGCTAAGAAGATGCTCATCACCACTTGTAATAGTAGGGAAAGGCGCAGCATACGCCCGTGCAGAAGTTGCCATCAATGCCTTTGTCTCCTCAAGGAATGTCCCATTTCTACCTACGCCAATGGGCAAAGGAGTGGTACCCGATAACTCACGCCTTAATGCATCGTCCGCGAGAAGTACAGCCCTCAAAGAGGCTGATGTAATTCTACTCCTCGGTGCCAGATTGAATTGGATCCTCCATTTCGGGCAACCACCCAAATTCAGGCCGGATGTTAAAATCGTCCAAGTTGATATATCAGTTGAGGAACTAGGTCGAACGAACGGAATTGGTGAACCCTCTATTGGAGTTGTCAGTGATATCGGCGCGTTTGTCGAAGAGCTCCACAGGCGGTTGAATGGTTGGCAGGCATTTTCTTCAATAGCAAGCCAGGACACAAGCTCTTTCTTGGGCAAGCTGTCTGCTGCAACTTCCAAGAATGAAAAGGCGGCAAAGGCGAAAGCTCTGACTGCTACCGTGTCTGGATCGACCCTTACTTATCAGCGAGCTTTTCACATTATCAAGGAGACTTTGCACCGACTCAGCCCACCTGAACAAGGAAACATTGTCTATGTCTCTGAAGGTGCAAACACAATGGATATTTCACGAAGCCTCTTTCCATTGCACCATCCTCGGCAGCGCCTCGATGCTGGCACCTACGCAACCATGGGAGTGGGCATGGGCTACTCCATCGCTGCATATGCCGCATACAATCTGCCTCATGGCCAACTTCTTCAAGGCAAGAGGAAGAAGATTGTGGCGCTCGAGGGTGATTCAGCTCTTGGTTTTTCGGCCATGGAGATTGAGACGATGCAGCGCCAGAAAATGCCCATCCTCATTGTCGTGATGAACAACAGTGGTGTATATCACGGAGACACTGCCAATGCCAAAGATTGGGAGCTTTTACAGAAGCAGACAGCGATGGATGAAGCTGGTTTAGATGAATCTGGCAAGAAAAAAGGCCTACGCAGCACAAGTCTCTGGTACGAAACCAGATACGAGATGTTGGCGGAAATGGTGGGCGGAAGAGGTTTCTTCGTACGAAGCGAAGAAGAATTGGCACATGCAACCAGGGAAAGCTATCACGAGCAAGAGAAAGTTTGCGTTGTGAATGTGGTTGTTGAACCAGGATTGGGCAAATCTATCGGGTTTGCCTGGCAACAAAAAGCAAAGAAAGGGAGCGGTGAGGTCAAACATAGCAAGCTATAGTCCAAGGTATATCATTCCTGCCGGTTGAACATACCGCCTATGGATATACTTTTGTTTCACACCGCAGTTATTATGCAGGTCATGCATCGTCATGGATATTCTGGAAGCTCGACCATTTCCTAGGGAGGTGTGAATGCCTAATGCAGAAGATCACATCAAAAATGCTGAAACGATAACAAGCACGTCGAGACGCTAGGTTAGAAGGAAGAGTGCCTTCAGAGAGAGCACCTTGATGGTTCTTGAGATACACAGTCTGTACACAACAGCTGAGGACCTTGCCACTGGAGTCGCGCTTGCTCTGTCCCTCCTGCCAAATACGTGGCCCTCTGGGGCTGATGTAGCAAAGCTTACTACTTGGCCGATTAAGGTCGATTTGTATAATCGAAACACTTTTGGCGCTATATCACCATTCTGGATGGTCTTTCGCATCAACCCCAGAACTTCACAATAGTCATGAATGCCACAACGAAGAACACTGTTGCACGTCTAGTTACTGCCAACAAAACTATATAATTATCAATCTCTGTTTCTAGGTCTGCCTGCACGAAAATATCTACACCTTTCGACGACTGTCCACAAGAATCGAGTAAACATGGAAAGCAATCACGTCCGATACGATGGTGGCGATGTCCTTATCAAGCCGTCATGGAAGTCCTCAAACTTCTTCCTTGTTCACCGGAACGTCCTTTCTGACAGGTCGCCGTTTTTCCGAGCAATGCTTGCGGATCGGTGGAGCAAGCCCAGCGTCGTAGGTCTTGACGAAAGAGCAACTTCGCTATGGACCTTGTATATCTCTCCTGACACCGGAGATCCAGAGAATTCGACATTCGTATTAACTTCTAAGGTTCGTGCATGGTCGATGCAGGCCCATTGTGACTTTTGTCTCCGTACAGCTCTAAGTCTTCTAGGTTCCTGTAGAGCCTGAGCCTGCAGCTGCGCAAAGCAACGTCCGATGGTGGCTATACGATCGGCTTTACACAGGTCTTCTCAGCGACTATTCTGGTCGAGATGGGTATGGAGCTGATCGCAATGAGGAGTGCTCATGCTCAAGCGGGTTGCATAGACTATGCTACGCTTGCGCAGACACATTGGCTCGAGAACGCGTAGTCGAAGTCCACAGGTGCATCTTCAACCTTATCTATGGCAAGCCATTCAGGTTCTCAGAGGCCATGGAACCGGATCGAAAGATCCTTTTCCTTGCGGAGTTGATACATCTTGCACATCTCTACAGCATTCTAGACATTGCTTCCCACAAAATCGAAAGAGCCTTTCTGGAAATCGAAGGTCTGGAGAGGCACTACCACAATTGTCCGCTGTTTTTCCTCGAGGTCGGTTATTATTTGCAATCCGAGGTCATGTTCGTGAAGGCCATGGAATACATCGTGGGCAAGGGGCTGCTAAGAGATACCACACTTCCTGATCATGTCTTGGAGCTTGAAGTGGACATTCGACAAGGCTTCTCGCGGTATATGGGCGGTTGTGTACAGTCAATATCGCGAGTGCTAGCATTCAGAGAAGATAAAGAGACGACTTATGAGAAGCCATATCGATCATTGACAAAGCCCCAGTTAAAGGTGCGCGAAATTGCCAAGACAACACTCATGAACTGGATAACACGAAACATTCTCCAGATCCTTGAATTGGGGGAGCACCTGGAATTGCCAGCTTGGAATTGGCACAAATTTTTGACTGCGGTGGGGGAACAGGATGCCAGACATCTTCATGGAGTGGGCGTTGGGCGACTTGCTAGCAGATACGCGATCAAACCGACTGTTCTCGACGCGGCCCTCAAGCAGCAACTCGAGCGCCTAAGTACTACAGTCTACCTTCAGGGACTACATGAATCGAGCTCTCGGGATCCAGAGTACGACATGTTTCCTTGTGCCCACGATAACTGTACCAGGCGCCACGACTTCCGCATCAGCTTCGATTTTGCATCGTGACGACCCAGGGTACGTGGGTGCTTTGGTCCTACCGTGGGAGGTGAAGACAAGGGCTGTTGACCACAAGCTGGGCGTGGCAGGAAGGTCTCCAGGACATGATGCATCGGCTGAGTATGTTCCATCCGAAGCTGACTTCTGGGGTGGGGGCAAGGAGCCGAAGGAGGAGGAGGCGGTGATTCTCAGAGATATCGATGAGTACGCAACTCAACCTGCCTCCGAAAGCTACCTCGCATCCCTTGGCTTGACAGAGGACTCTGGAAAACTTGCACACGAGTAATCTTATTTCTCTCTGGCCAGCACAATTATTTCTCAACTTTCCGGGTTGATGGCGTGGGAAATCCTGGTCTTGGCGACTTACCTTCATGGTGAAGATTACAGATCATCAGCCAGTAGCAAGCCCAGCCAGCTCTTCGTCGTCTTCCTCCCCTAATCTCTTATCTATCTTCCACAACGTCAATACCCATATTAGCCCCAACAGTTGAAACCTTTTTGCCTCCCCCATCAAATATATCCCATCCATATTGCCCTCCACCGCACTACCTACCTAGCCGGCTACCCTTCCCCCCGGCTCCTCCCACATCCATTCAAGTCCCCATCGTATTGACCTGCGTTGACACCAATCCAAGCCATCCCAACTACTCAGAATCTAGCTCCCTGCCACGTGACTAAGATCGTAAACCTCCAGAGATACGCTCAGCCAAGGCAGGCAGCACTGTGCAATCTCTGTCGCATCGACCAGTATGACCATGTATGTAACTCCATCCATCCCTTGCGAACCTCACAGTAGCTGGGCGTCAATCTCGGGCTTATCTTCCTTTACTTCCAGTAAGAGGAAACAATGGGCGCATATGATCATGATCTAGAACACCAAAAAAAAAACAGGCTCCATGAGCCATGATCACCTAGGTCGTTGCCGACCAGCAATGCGAAGTGAAAGAATTTGCCTCTATATTAGTCTGAAGAAAGAGATCTCGACATGCAGAGAAAGGAAGGGGGGGGGCCTATCTTGTTTCGTCTGAGCTGCGTTTCTAATAACTAGCCGAATCTGCATCGGAAAAGGGGTATCATACTATAGCCATACATCCAGCCAATCAGCCATCCAGCAGAACACCGTGCAAGTGAACTTGCCTGCCCTGCTCAGCCCAATATTAGCCCAACCGTCGCCCGTGGTAGCACTAACGCCCGCAAAAATCCTCGATGTGACAACAGGGGGGGTATCATATCCGCTCAAAGCCATCCATGTATCCGCTTGGAATCCGACAACCCGGCAACCCGGCAAGAGATCAAAAACTCCCCATTACCAGCCCAGCCAAAGCAAAAGCAAGAACTGGCTCAATCAAGCAGCAAAGGGGAAGGGGATCCAAAGAAAAGAGAGGGGGGGCACTGCATCTGCGAAGCACAACGCTCATAGTCTGGAAACTTCCGTCGGAAAAGCCCCGTGGATCATTACCACCCAAGTCACCTCAGCGCTTCCTCAACTATCGTAAGGCAAGCATCGATTCCCCACGAAATTGAACCACTCATCACCAACCTAACACCTCCCCGGCACCCTCTCCACCACATCCGCATCGTAATACGGATCGTAATACTCCACCGTTTTGTAGCAGTGCCCCCTACTACCGACGGGTTCCATAACGCGGCACCTATCACCCCTCAAGTCAGAACACAAACCTCTCCTGCAGCCGAAGCCTGGATTCAAACTAGTGCGTCGTCGTAGAATAGGACACGGACCCGGAGGCGGACTGCGATATCGGAACCGCTCGTAGGAGTAGCTCGAGGAGGTTGACGATGCGGAGGAAGATGAGGAGGAGAAGGAGGGTGGTGGGATTCTGCTCACCAGGGATGGATGATGATGATGGTTACGATGATGATGATGATGATGATGATGATATCTTCGATCTCGCTCCCGTTCACGTTCCCTTTCGCGTTCGCGTTGGCGTTCCCAGTCACGCTCGGCTCTAGGATAAGGGCTTAGAGGACGGGAAAGAGGAGGAGGAACCCTTTCGCGTAATCCTCTCTCGATCTTTTGATCCATCTCCTCGGCTTCACGACGGCGGTTTTCGGCTGCTTCGTACGCCTCGATCACTTTGGCGCGGCAGCGGGCGGTCTCGGCTGCGGCGGCGGCGATGGCGGGATCTGTGGCGGGTTTCTCTTTGGGCTTCGATGGTGGTGTTGGTGGTGGTGCTGGTGGTGCTGGTGGTGCTGGTGGTGGTGCTGGTGGTGGCGGTGAAGTTGGTGCACATGGTGGGAGTGAGGGTCCACAGCGTGGTGAGCGGGGGATGATGACCGGGTGGTCGGAGTGGCAATGATGGTTGTGCCAGTGGTAATGGTCCCCAATACAGAGGGATCGGGATGGACAGGGTTCCGGGCTGGGTGCTCGAGAGCGAATTGTTCTGCAGAGCTCTGTGCGACGAGTTGGCCGCCGCTCCACGTAGGTCCAGCCCTTTTCATATTTTGGACGATGGCCTGGAGAGGGCGAGGAGAACTTCTGGAGGACGACAAAAGGCATTTTGTGGGGTTTCCTTCATGCGGTAAGTAGACGGGTGAGTGGAATGATGAAAGAGGGTGGGGAAGAGATGTAGTTACCAACTGTAGGTAGCGTGAAACAGAGAATCTGAATACTATTAAGACCTAATCTGGCGGAAACACAAGCTGGAATGAGTAGAAGTTGTTGAAGATGACAGCGTCAGGTGGTTGTGGCAATGAATGCTGATGTTGAATGATTGTGACTGAGTCCCATTCACATGATACCTTCCATTCGTCCATCAGGCAAACGGTATATAATGCATAGCCCATATTGACCCCAAATGTGACCCTACCTTTCCACGACATTCGCGCCTTTGTCGTCGATGTCCGTCTTGAAGGATCGGTTGCCATCTATTGCGTCGATCCTTTGAAGCAGAACATCGCAGGGCGGATTCCAGGACGTCTGACCTATAGCCAATAGTAGATGCCGATACTCACAATGGTAGAGGGAGAGGGAAACCTCCACGAAGAGCACAGGGCGGTAAAAGTGCTCAGGTTCCTACAAAGATGTCTCAGACAGAACGTGGTGCAACGTGGTGCAACATGGGTTCCTCTGTGGCCATGGTGGGTATGCCCGAGCCTGCTCAGAGGCCACAATGAGCGGCTCCTGACGACCATCATTGTCTCTGAAATATGCGTCAGGCGGTGGGGCCGCGCGTGTATTATAGACAAAGAACCATGATGGTGGTCAGCCATAGCCTTTGCTTGAGCCTCAGCCAGCAAGGCTATGGAGTGGCACATGTTCTGCCCCCTGGTGATCGAAGCGGGAGAAGCCAACCTGAGAAGGCTGCTTCAAGATGATCACTAAGAGGGGCAGATTTTCAGGAACAGGAATAGGAATAGGAATAGGAATAGGATTTCTGAAGGAAAAAAGCGAAGAGGTGAAAGGTGAGAGTTAAAAGGATGGACGAATGCGATCTGCCAAGCCATGCCTGTCCTCCCACTTCAATCCTCAACCCCTCATCAAGGCCATAAAAAACATACAGGCGTCATAGATGATAGGGAGGAAACACAAGCTGGTTGGTGGCTGAGAGAGTCGTCTCATGATGGATCACGAGATCCTTTGGCCGGTTTGGTGTGGCAGCCACTGCGCTCACGCCCGAAGGTCTGTTGACCCAATCAGCGAAGCCTATCACAAGACCTCCAGCCCCAATCAAAAATTGGGAACTTCAAAATCAGTTTCTGGGAGGTGGCGTGGCCATGCAATCACAGTCAAATATTACAACGGCATTTTTACTATGAGATTAGTACTATAAGAATGTCACAATAACTTCTGAAGATAAGTAATAAGACTGAGGAGTATATTTTAAAACATCTGTTAGGCTCGCCAGGAGAAAACAGCCCTTAACAGGCCTTGTGGCTACCGATAAGTTATCGGTAGTTGGCTAAATAGATAAGTATAGCGCTAGCCGGTACAGCCAAGTTGCGATAGGCGACCGCAGACAATCAATCAGACTTACGTAGTACAGAGTCGTGCTTCAAACGTAGTTGACCCCCCGGCTAATGTGGCATTGCTAGCCTCTCTCAGCCTCAACATTGGCTGGCCGACTAACTAATAGTACAAAGAGTAAGTATTTGCTAGGTCTATATAAGTCATTAAATAATGCTTATCTTTAGGCTCTTAAGGTGGTACTTATAAGGCTTGACTGAGCTTCTAAGCCCTATCACCCCCTTATCCTAAGCCTTATAAGCTAATCAAGAAATAAGTTATTTGAAAGACTAACTGCCAGCAGCTAAGTGCAAGAGGGCTAGTTTCATAGCCACACTCTAGCGGTAGTCCACTACTTTTGAAGCATGACTCCATACACACCACTTTGAATTCGAGGTCTCATTTCACTATTAAGCCCCTGACCTAATAACATCCTTCTAAGGAAGCTCTCTAAGACAGCCTCTTAAGACAGTCTCCTAAGGTAGTCTCCTAAGATGGTCTCCTAAGACAGCCTCTTAAGACAATCTTTTAAGGCATTCTTTACGGCATTCCTCTAAGACAGCCTTTTAGGATGTCCTTCTAAACATCCTTTTGAGGTATCTTTTTGGGGGCATCCTCTTGTCAGGAGTATGGACCGTGCGCTCCCCGCATGCGCAAAGCATGCATCAAAAGACGAATTCCCTCATAAGGTCTATCACCACTGCATCTCATGTATCTGCACCTCTTGGCATCCCTAATACCTTTAGGATATTCTCTTCAGATACCCTCTTAGGATAGTCTTCTAGGGCCTTCTCTGGGACATCCTTCTGGAATACCCTTTCAGAACAGCCTCTTAGGACAGCTTCCAGGACAGTAGTCTTCTAGGACATTCTTCAAAACATCCTCTTAGGATACCCTTCTAAAACAACGTTCTAATATATTCTCTTAGATGTATCTTATCAGACCCATCTGAGCTTAAGTCTTTGGTCTTTGTTGACATTGTACAACTACAATTCATGAGAAGGTTATCAACATATGCTGTGAGAACAGACTTGAATGGCCCTTTGTGGTGATGATTTGTGATTTTTGAAGTTTAAAATCTTAGATGTGGCGCCAACCCAACAATAGTCCGCCGTAATTAGGCATGGAAAGAGCTGCGACGTAGTACTCCTGGTACTAGTAGTACTCGTATGCCCAGGCAGATTTGTCGCAGGATTTCAAGTTCTTGATGCCATGTCTTTGGTCGACCGGCCCAATCGCCAACACCCTATCAAACGGGTCAGAATGTACAAGATGCAATCATGAATATAAATCCTCTTCTTCGTTATCTCCAAACCCATCCATTGCAGCCGCCTTGCCCTTGCCCTTTCCTCCCGGTCCAGTTCCATTTGCCAAATGGAAGCTCTTAAACCCCTCATCGCTATCGTCACTGTTGTCAGGTCCCGAATCCGGATTGGCGACTGCCTTCCCCTTGCCTTTGCCCGTGATTGCGCTGTCCCTGCCAGGGCTGGATGCCGTCTTCAGCGTCGCCTGATGTGAGTGTTGCTGGCGTACTGGTAGCGAAGACCACGTCGTCAATCCAGGTGGTCTGTTGGTCGACCTGGCTTCTTTGGATTTATTGGACAGATCTTGCTGCTCGAACTGATTACGTATTCTTTCGAAATGAGCGAGCTCTTTCGCACTGAAATTGATGGATTAGCTTAGCTTTTCAACCTGATTCAGATACATGGCTTACCTGACACTTGCAACCAGTTCTCTCTGTGCAGCAGCGAAGTCGTCCTCTCCGACAACGCCAACAGTATCGTCCGGTATGGCTAGGTGATCAAAGTAATACGCAGTGCTGATCTCTTCGCCTCGAGCCCTGCTTGCCTCTTGCACCTTGGTGTCGACTTGTTTGGTCTTCTTCGTGATAGCTTTGAGCATGGCGTCCGAGCATAACGCGTACAGATCGGCTCCAGTGTACGTGAATGGTAGTCTCGATGCTACTCGAGTCAAATCCACGTTCGCATCCAATGTAAATTTCCTCGTAAGAGCTTCTAGGATCGTGACTTGCTGCTCGTGGGTGGATGATACCCCCAAATACAGCATCTTGTCAAAGCGACCAGGTCGAAGCAAAGCTGGATCTAAGAGGTCCGGCCGGTTGGTAGCTCCAATAACAAAGACGCCGCCAGCATTTCTATTTGTACCTCCATGGCCCTCATCGTCAGATGAGCCGCCGCTAGACATGCCATCGAGTTCCGCAAGTAATTGAGACACTATCCTGTCCATGACTCCACCACTGTCACCTTGATTGCCTCGCTTAGGAGCTACAGAGTCTAACTCATCGAAGAAAACAACACATGGCCGAGCGTCTCTAGCCCGTTGAAAGACCCGGCGTACGTTTGCCTCGGACTCGCCGATATACATATTGAGCAGCTCAGGACCCTTAACAGAAAAGAAGTTCAGGCTGAACTCGGTTGCGATGGCTTTGGCGAGTAAGGTCTTGCCGGTGCCCGGAGGACCGTAGAATAATATGCCAGAACGTTTCCGCATACCATTGGCAAAGAGCTCGGGACGAGTCAAGGGCAAGCTGATGGTTTCCATGATGGACGACTTCTGATCCGCCAGACCACCAACATCCTTCCACGTCACAGCGGGAATCTTGGGTGCTCCGATCGAGTCTGAAAAATTGGAGCGAGCACTGCCAATTGCCTGGTCAAAGTCGGAAGCGGTCACACTCGAGACCATTGGACCGCCAGCATGTCGAACATCACCCGGAGAAACCCCTTTGGCCGCTGCCAAACCTTCCACTCGACGATCATGGGCAAGTGATGCTCTGTGCACTACATCAACGAGGTCACCAGCGACCAATGCCGCAGTTTTAAGAGCCACAGCGTCAAGACGGACTGACGGATCTAGTCGCAAAGCCTGTTCTAGACAAGCATTATGGAGAATGCCTTCTCTTTCCCTTTCATTTGGGGCAGTCAATTCTAGTTCGTGGGTGAAGAGGCTTCGTATACCGTCAGGGATCTTGTCCAGTTCGGTGGTGGTGGCCACGAGGACACGGAAATCCGAGATTGCTTCTGCGAGAGTCGGAATAATGCGATCAGCTGTCAACATTTCCAGATTTGTTATGAGCAGGACAGTAAACTGAGAGCCACAACTCAAGGCACGTTCGGCCCTAGTCTTGAACGAGATTTCTGTCTTAACATCACCACCTCCGATAGACGATCCGCCATCAGCGAGGATGTCATGAGCTGAAACGGGGAAGACTTGCGTTCCCGCTGCTGCACAGGCACGAGAAGCAATGTAGGACTTGCCCACCTGGTGCTGAGTGGAGTGAAGGAGGATTGCTAAAGGTGGAAGTCCTAAAGACAATGCACGTGGGCTGGTTGCGGAGGAGACGAGGTCACTGAGGCGCTTTTGCAGTGGTAGAACATAAGGCTGCATGCTAGACCCACCATAGACTGACCGCGCAGCCAATACGGATGCTGCTGGCGTGATCTTCCTACCACCAAGCCAGGTAAATGCATCACCAGATAGAGGTTCCGGAATGCCCTGGACGATGCTCCCGGCCTGCGCGATTCTAGTTCTCGATGAGTCGATCATTACAATTCCGCCCCACTGGCTTCCATGATCCAGCTGACCATTGGCATAGTCTATATCCTCATGGACGACTTGGTCCACAGCATACCAGGCTATGTTGCATTTCCGCTCTCTGTCTGATGCAGAGCCGAGACTAGCGACCAGAGGGTTTTCCCCCGAGTTCTCGACGTTTTCCGCAGGGTCAAAAGTCACTCTTCCGAGCTCTTCATCGAAATTCATGGCAATTAGGTCGCCAGCTTTTACGATACGGTAGTGCTGCTGAAAATATTGTTTCAAGACTGTGAAAAGTGTTGACTGTACCTCCTTCTTCGTACTCGCTGGTGTGGAGATTTTGTAGAGGGTGATCTCCTTCGCCAGTGGTGGCTGTGCTATGCTGTTTACCGGTGCTTCCGACTTGGGAAGAGCTGATAGCTTGACAAAAGTGGGCGTCCCCAGATTATGTAACAGCATAGGTGGTACGTACACTATAGGCGCGAGGGACGATGAGGCTAACCGAGAAGTATTGGTGTGTTGCTCGGTCAGTGCGTAACGTGGCTTCCGGTGAGCAAGATTCGAAAGACCAAAGATACGTACTGGTCTCCAGTCGGAGGAGTCTTCAGTAGGGTTCCCAATGCTGTCGAGATTGAGCGACATGGCTCCGTTTACTTGCGGGCGCTTGCATTGTTGAAGCCGCACCCAGTCTCCAGAGAAACAGCCAACCTTTGTGAGGGTATTGATATCAACGACGACGAAAGACTGTTCGTCGTCTTCTTCTTTCGGCTGGGGATACAATGCAGCTTTGGGTATTTTTTGCAGCAATGCCTGTGCTCGACAAACTTTACCAGGCGGTGTCCTGGCCCGAGCTGTTGCAGCGGAGTAGCTGGAATACAAGGAGCCAGGTGTGTGAATACCTGTATATATTTGGCTTCCAGGTCGAGGTGTGGCATTTCCAGTTCCTGAAAATATTCCTGGTCGCAGCGAGGGTGGGTCAGGTGCATGAAGGGATATCATGTCCTCCAAGGAGTCGTCTGAGATGGCATCACTTTCATGTTGTGACGAATGGTCAGAATCAGACTGCTGAGAGATGGAATCGGAATCGGAATTAACATCTTCTTCTCTATCTTCGGCGGCAGAATAGAATTGTTCGTTCGAGGTGTCTTCAGCATTTTCCTGAGAAACGTGCGCTGCGGCCTCTCTTGGCACTGTCAACCTGGTGGTCTTGTCGATAACAGACTGCGCCTCAACGAGCACTATCTGTGTGCTGGAAGCTACCCGACCTTGCCTGACTGGCTCGCAAGCACTCACAAGGGCAGGTGGAGGAGGAATGTGCGTAATAGGATGCGAAGGCAAGGACAGGGCCAATGTATCTCCAGCATGTATGATTGGAGGGATAGCGACAGCCTCTCGCACGACTTTTGCTAAACGGCTGTCAGTTGATCCTGAGGTATTCCAATATGTTCCGTTCTCGTCAGTGAATTTGCTACTCTTTGGCCAGCCCCTATTGTTGATGCCGTTTGTCTGAGGGCCACTGAACCCTCCTCCAAATCTCTTCTGTGCATCATCAATGGTCTCAAGCAGATTCTTCTCCACAGTCACATACACCGTGTCGAGTATAACTGGTCTCACGTTGATGATTCGAACCTCGGCGGCATTAGAGAGTAGAGTGAGGTGTTGGTTGGAACCTAGTGTACCAAAGTGGTCCAGGAGGGATTGAACGCCGGCTGCCTTTGTGGGAATTCGGATTGTGGTGCGGGTAGTCTCGTCACGCTGTGTATGGCTGCTGTCTTGCCTTTCTACACAGAATATGGTCCATGGAACATGTTCGATTATCTCGGTAAGAGGGGTCCGCAGGCATATGGCGAGGAACAAGGTATCTTGTTTGAGACCATGAGGCCGCTGCAGGCTCGTTCCTGCACGCAGTGTCTTTTCAGTCTCACTCTTTGCTGCACCATAAGCACCATACCGTAGTCATCATACTCGTGGGAATCTAGTGCAGACCAAAGATCCTCGGATACAATCCCCACATTCCCCCGTAGGCTGTCGTCCAGGACGAGACGGGCAGACCAAGGCCAGTCCTTATAGTGTCTTCTCCTGCGCTTCTTCGGATGCTCTGATTCAAGCAAGACACCTTCCATGGCGTCTGTTTGGGTGTTGTAGCATATGTAGGGAGAACAATTCTGCTACACAATCTGAATGCTGGGTGCCATGCCCACAATACGAGTACATGATTGTTGGAGATCCACATGCTTTGCCGAGGCAAACACGAGCTCCTGTTGCCAAGCTTGCCTACTCAAAGATTAGATATCATTTTGTCTCAGTGGGTCAGACTAGTCTATGGCTGCCGGCGCTAGCTTTAGGCTCCAATCAGAAAATTAGTGAATGCGGTTAGACCGCCCACTAAGACTTAGTTGCCGTTTTAGGTCAGAGCTAAAGAAGAGTCTGAACTCCGAGACAAGATATATCTATCATTCTGTCGATTCTACCCACTCAAGCCATGCGGAAGCGTCGTGATTTTACATGATTACGACGCCTGAATGCAATCTACTTGTCGTCCTGTTGCGCCCCGGGGGGTTAAATAAATAGAGTCTCTCGCTGCTAAGAAATACACGCTGATTGCCTCGAGAATACCTAATGTGATGGATGAATCTGCCTTAACCCTTGAGTGCGGGATACTTACACATCACTTTGACAATGGTTCGAAGGACATTCAGACATGGTGGAGTGCATTGGCTGAAGTCATCTACCAGGTTCCTATGTAGTATATGCAATCTAACCCGGCGAAGATCTCTCGTCCGCCTCGTTTCGAGAAGGTGGTCCATCTCGTCCTAGAAGCCTTGGAGAAGCTCTGATATCGTTCCTGAACATATAGTAGAGTCTCGCTGTCGGAATATGCGCGATCTGCGGTTGCGCTTCGCTGACGCCTATTCGTGCTCGCCGCTCTTTTGATAGCCCATATTAGGCATTGAGTAGAGTCAGGGAAACGAGAGTACAAGAACAGTATTGATCTTTAGGGCGCAGAATAGATAAAACCTCTGTCTCCACCCGAACAAGGCGCGCAAAGATTCCCAGTACAGGATCCTTAATCATCATCGCCTCACAAAACACGTCAGAAGACAACACTTCGTAATGTAGTTTGATGATTATCTCAGACCACTATCTCGCTTGAGGTCGTCATCGGTCAATCCGTCCCTCAGGTCCTTCAAATACTTTCCAAATCTGCTGCTGACTCCAATGACATGATTGAGATGGGAATAGCAAAATGGTGCACCCTTGAACTGGGCGAGCTGCCTTGCTGTGGTGATAGCATTTCTGATCTCTCGACCATTCATGTCCTTCTTACTGAGATCGTCGATATGGTCCATGATGTCATCGAAATCAGCGTTCGGATCCTCAAAAGTTCTGAGGCGGTTGATAAAATTTCGCCAGATTTTCCGACGTTGGCTGACGGTCAAGTTTTCATAATGCAAAGCAAGCTGAATGCGGGATTTGAAAGCTTCGTCAAAAGTCCCCACGCGGTTTGAGGTGAGGATCAAAATCGCGTTGTAGTACTCGAGAGCGCGTAGAAAGACGGATACCAAAGCATTCCGGTTGAGATCCTTCATATCGCGTTCTTCAAGGAAGACATCTGCTTCATCTAAAAGAACGACTGGTTCATATCAGTTAGCCGGTTCGTGTTTGATTTACTTTGCTGACATACCGCAATCCCAGATCCTCCCAAGATGGAAAGCAGATTGCAGGTACTGCTCAACGGTCTCTGCTACCGTTCCGACATCGCCGCAGGTCACACGGAATAGGGGTTTCTCTGCAAACTCTGCCACACCTTCGGCAGTGAAGGTCTTGCCTGTGCCGGGCGCTCCGTGGAGAAGGATGATGAGTCCGTTTCCCTTGCCACTGATCGAGTCCGTTGATTTCTCAGCAACAAGTTGGTTCGTAACAAGGGCTTGCACAAGCACCTTTGTCTCTTCGTCTACGACAAGATCTTTAAATGCCTGCTTGTTCCAGATAATGTCCGTTACTCGGTCCACGTACAAATCAACTTGATATCGTCAGTCAGCTTCATGCTATTATGAACCGATGCTTACGCCATTTTTTCCGATGTAAGTTATAGCCTGCAATCTTCGAAGGGAACAGGAGTATCAAATTTCCTCCAGGTGGCTCGGGGTCTGCCATCTCTTTGGCGTCAAGGTCGGCCCTGAGCCTATATCGGTTCACATCGGACCGTGGGTGAAGTTTCTTGTATGTTTCTATGTCAACCATGTATCTCTTATCGATCTGCATTGAGATTAGTGATACCGTGAGGTACTCTATATAGCCGATTCACCTTACATTGCTTAATCCCCCGTCCTCGTCTAGCTGATATGAGACAAATTTCCCGTGTCTAAGCTTCCAGAACATGCGTCCCCTTTGTTCGAGCGTATTTCGCACGCCTTTCGGCGCAAAGGCAAGCGGAAATATGCTGAGTTGATTTATTGGAACTTCCTGGTCCTCATATGCAACCTTCATATTGATGAATATGACCTCTTTATGCATCTCAAAGTGTCCATCAAATCTCCAAGACGAAACGGGTAACCTCCATTTATATCTCAGCTTTTTCCGCACATCGTTACTCTGAGATTTTGGTCCCCGTTTTAGGGGAATTTTCCTGCGTGAGATGTCGTAATCTTCATAGTCTTCCCGGTCGCCGTCGTCATCTGGGGGCAGTTCCTCAGCCCACTCCAGAGCCTGATATGCTTGAGTCTCTAGGCCTTGTATATCAACTAAAACGTCTCCTGGCTTGATGAGGTACTTGACAAGATGCCGAGCGACCAGACCCTTCCCAGCTTTGGCGTTCGCTGAGGCGTATTCCCATCCATGGCTCTCATCTATAGTTTTTTGCAGTTCCTGCAGGAGGTTTCGACTTAGAGGGTCTAGTTTGGGTAGAATGTCAGGCATGAAAGGCAAGGAATAGTACATGAACAGATAGGGAGCCTGGATGTCGTTCAAAGTATCAAAATGCGGGAAGTACACCCCAAAATCAGGCACCTCGCTGACAAGGCTTTCCACAGCTGCCACCATATGATTTGAGACGAAGCACAAGGTTTGCTGAGTTGGTTTTGGTGTTCGAAAGACGCCATCCTTTGTCTCGATCTTCGACTTATTCACCGGAGCCTCTGAATTGTAGTATTTGTAATATACAAATGCCATCTCCGGATGCTGCTCTAAGTAATGGTCAGTCTTGCGGGAAAGGGGGTTGCTTGAGCGCAGTGTTGGGCGCCTATCCCCTCGCTCCCACCGAGGTTCGTCAAGGTACACTGTCTCGTCGATACAGTAGAAAACTTAGTGATCGAAAGCAGGGGCCGCCGGAGGCGGAGTGGTTGCGCGGCCGCCCGATCGTAGTTGCTCGTTCTTATACTTGAGCCTGTTGACTTGGTCCAAGAGATCATCGACTATATTAGATCTAGGAGGCTTTCGTACAAGCGAGAGCGCCTGATGGTCGTCATTGGATGTCGTGCCGTCTTTCCTGAAACGTGCATCACTATCTGCAGGGAAAGAATTTGGATGATGCCTATATAACGAGCTGGACTCGCTGCTTTGGCGAGAAGATGTGGAAACCACTTCATCGTCCACGACGTACGGATGCAATGGCTTCCCGGGCAGGCCAATATTATCTCTCTATGGCGGCGACAGTACTTTGGATCTGTGATGATTTACGGTCCGAGAACGCTCAAGATATGATTGGCGGCTATGTTCCCTAAGTTCGGGCCTCTCCTCATCGCTCTCCTGTCGGCTCGGTGTGCCTCTTGCTAGAAGTGATGATGGTGACGAGTTTCTGTCTCGACGAATTTTGATTTCACCAGTCGAGCTTCTCACAGATATACTATCTGCACTGTCTTCGGATTGAAGGTCATCAATCACGTTCAATTGGTCTCTATCGAGGTTACTACCCGCTGTTTCATCTTTCGACATAGCAGAATTCTCACAGAGCGCGTCGAGAGGGTGAGATTGACGCTCTTCCCCGTATTCATACCGGCGGCTGCGATGTTTTGATCTTCCGTATTCATGCTGGTGTCCCAATTTAACTCTGCCTCTATCTGCCCTGGATGACATCTCAGCGTATGGATTGGCAACGTAGCAAGCTAATGTTGGCGGCGTGTAGCTGTGATCTCGATCATGAGTGCCTGTGATTTAAGGGTATCTGTCTGGTCGGCTATTGTATCAAACTTGGAGGCGATGTTTTTGAGCACTGAAGTGACTGGATCGATATGCAGATAGCTTGACAGCACGGATAATATCTCAATTGAGATGCAACAAGCGATGTCCCTCATCACTACCCTGGTGATTATCATACATTACCGAGTGGCGTCTACACAGAATTGTTTGGTCGAGAGATGAGAATGATCAACCACGAGGCTGCACCAAGAAACGGATTTGGCCCGCGGTGAAGCCCCACAGCTGCATATGTTTCGTAACGAGGCATAAAGTATACGAGGTACATGCTCGATTAGTGTCGCCCTTCCTAAATCTTTAATAGTATTTTGCCACGCCGCGACCGACATCGTTCAGTCTCACTGGCAGAAGCAGTATCAGATCGATCTATTGAACGGTTCTGTACTGGCATGAAAAGGGTCCGCAAGTATTGAAATTAGTCTTCCGTCTTCCTCTACTTACCTCTTATTTTGGGGAATGTTCATGAGCACTAGAGATTTCTCCAAGCCCTCTCCCATGATCTAGGAGCAGACAATGCGACCTCAACAACAGTGGTATCAAGCGGCAGATAGCGACCAGTGCGTGTTCGGTCTTGAAAGCTGGATCTGCAAAGGTAATAGGTGCTGATGGTTTGTGGGTTATGACAGATGTCTTGATCCGGCACACGAAGCTTTTAAAGACGCTATCGCTATTTTCAATTCCACTATCACTAAAGACATGCGGAAGCGAACATTGGCCCAACAAGCAACATCCCTCGAAGACTTTCAAAGCACCCTCACCGATGCGAAATGTAAATATGAGAATGAGATCAAAGAGCATAGAGTGAGCAAATGGTTGACGAAATGCTCTTATCGGATTCTTTATTACGGCAACATAATGGACGTACTTGTCCAGCATCACCCAGAATACGTTGCGTTAGCATGGGGGACAATGAAGCTAATATTCACTGTAAGCAGAGCCCTCCAACATGCCCTTGGCTATAGTGTGCTGAAGGATGAAGTCAGCTTGTCGTGAACCAGGCAAATCTGGTGAAGACTTTAGCCAAGGGAATATCTCGAATCGCGGACTCGCTCCCCCGTATAGAGCTTGCAACTATACTATACCCGACCAAAAGGATGAAACAAGCTGTTGCTGAGCTTTATGCCCACATTATTCGCTTCACCATAAGAGCCCAGGATTGGTATCAGCAAAATAAGCTGCGTCATATCTGGGGATCACTAGCCAGGCCTGCAGAGCTTCGGTATGACGATCTTATAGCAGATATCGAGGGCTGCACTAAGGAGGTTGACCAGCTCGCGACTGCTGGTGCTCGAGCAGAGCAGCGTGACATTCATTTGGAGCTGCAGGGCCTCAGTCAGAGACAGAAACACTCCGACACTGTACTGTTGGAGATGAAGCAGTTGATCATTTGTGAGTGTGTGCTTATCAAATGTGCATGAGCCCGCTCACCATGAAACCTAGCATATCAGTCAATCAATTCGAGCTCGTTTCTCGACACAAATCAGCGACTTACTGATCTGCAACTCAATCAGATCATGGAATATGTCGGGAGTACTTCCAAGATCGACCCAATGAAATGCTTGTTGCATTGTATTTCGAGCACCAACAGAAGAGGCCTGACCAGTAGAGCTGGAGGTCGAGACGACAGCCAATTCTGGTTGCATCCTAAATTCAAGAGGTGGCAGTCACAACAACAACCAGCCCTGATCATGGTCAAGGGCGACTATAAGAGTCGATTGGAAGTCAAGAGATTCTGTGGCAATGTTGTGCAGATGCTGCGCAAAAACAGCATACCTGTCATATGGACACTAAAGACCCATCAGGCTGATCGTTCACATTCCATCTTTGTCGTAGATATACTAAGAGACCTAGTCCATCAGGCTTTGCGCCTCAATGTTTCTCTTCGTACTGAGCGTGCCATATCTCTCAGCTGTGCCCAGTTCCGCGCGGCTGAGACGGAAGAGCAATGGCTCAACCTTTTGGCCATGATCGTTGCTACTCTGCCTCAACTGTACATCATTGTCGATATTGAAGCTGTTGACATCAGTTCCGCCGACAAGACGCATGTCTTCTCTTGGCTCTCTGCATTTCAGGCTATGTTTCGGAGTCTTTCCGTCAGGCAAGTCAGCTTACCCTTAAAAGTGATCTTGGTGAGCTATGGGTCAGCGACAGTACAGGATAGCAGCATCTCGGAATATCGCGACCTTGTTGTTCTTGCTCGGCAACTGCAAGCAACTTCTGTTTTCCAGCGAGGGAGGAAAAGTGGTATCTTACGGTTGAGCGGTACGATGCCACTAGCGAGAGGAAGTAGAACACAAACAACGATTTCATGATGTAGTAAGAAATATTTTGTTATTCCGCACTCGCTAATCAGACAAGGCATTGCATCCAGTAAAAAGTTTCACGCAGCCAAAGCTTTCTCTTGAGGCCGACAACTGACAATAAATGCCAAGTTAGATCTCTAGAGGATTAACCCTTGAATTGAAAGGTATCAATGTACATTAAATGAAGTTTTGAAATCGACATACACAGTCTAAAGAAGATTATCGTGATAAGTCACACAGTTTAATCAGATATATAACTATGTACATAGTCATGTCAGTCGTGGTATTGAAGCCCATGAAAAGGACCTTACTCTGTCTGATCTCAGCAGACAAGAAATACATGACGTTTTACTGGCATCAGTTAAGAGAGCATGTATGTGTGATAGTAGTGGATCCTACAGTTGTTGTTGCGGATGCTACCAGGGCAGAAACATGTAGACGTTTACTCAGGTAGTGGTAGGGAGGTTCACATTATTTAGCCTATTCCAACCCGACCACCCCATAAAGCATATTTGGCATACAGATGCACGGCGCAATTCATTGTTATGAAACCGGTGGGAAGAAGTGAAGGCAGATAGTAATTGGATTGTTATTGAGATGGGAGCGTAAGTGGCTGAAAACTCCGATATTCGTAGCCGCACCACCGCACTTCACCTGCATTTATCACTGGTCATTCCCCTCGACACCTGTCATCTTTGTGGCTGAGATCGGTGGAGTTAGAAAAATATCAAGGAAACATAGAATATACAAGAGCACCTTGACCAAAGCGACAATACCATCGCTGAGCCGAAAGGTAGAGATTAAAACCAAACGCCTATTGCGTCTCCTGCATACAATCCCGGTCAACTGTGTCCAGGCAATCCTTTCCCAGTCTGGTAAATCTCGGCCGTCACGCATCGCATATATAACTTAGAGATTCAGGTAGCGTCCGAGCTGGGAGTCGTTATATTCTGGTTCCATGTTGCTGAACATTTCCATATGCTCATAAGAGACGTCTGCAGTCGATGGGACCATACTAAGATCACCCGATGCACCAAACAACGCAAAATCATCGTTCGGAAGATCTGTCATACCCGTGTAGGTGTTGGACATGGTGTGATCAGCCGGATGGCTTGGTTGCAGAGGCGGTTGGAAGAGATCATCTTCTGCGATCATGGGGGATATTCCCGAAATAGAAGGATTTCTTGACTGAGGCTGAAGAGAATGGGAGCCAGAGGTTGGCAACCTTGCAGAGAAATCCCCCTGATAATCGATGTCGATGTGTAATGGGTTGGAAGAAGTCACATTGAAGGCAGGTCCAGCTGTGTGTGCTGGTGTCAAAGGGGTGTCGAGGTATCCCTGATTGTAAGCATATGGAGAAGTGAAGTTCACGTTTCCAGGGAGAGGTGCTGAACAGCCAGGACCGTATGGTGAAGAGTTGAAGTTAAGCTCTGGGGAGCCGTAACCATAGGTTCTGCTGGGAGGCGTAGGATTGGATGGGAACAGAGACACCTGGTAAGGGTTTGTGGGAGGCTGCATCGTGTCCCCAAAGTCATCCAGTGACGTTGTGTACGGCGTGAAATTGCTGCCACCATCACTTCCATAAACAGATGTATTTCCCCAATCATCAGAGATACTTGGCGTTGACATGCTTGGTGTCTGCGGTGTTTGCTGAGGCGTTCTCGCCGATTTAGCACCGCCTTTTACCCGTTCATATGTCCAGCCGTGCTTTTTCTCCATGTGCTGTTTGCAATTGCTATCTCGCTTGGTCTTGAAGGGACAATACTTGCAGTGAAAGTAACGAGGATTGGTAGAGTGTTTGTCGTTGACATGCCGATCCCGCTCTTTTTCAGTGGGAAGGCCTTGATCGTGGTATTTGCAAGTTTTTTCGGGACATTTGAATGGCCGAGAGTGGGTCTTTTCGTGTTTAGCAAGATCGCATTTTCGGTTGAAGATCTTATCGCAGGTCCTGTCAGAACATCTCAGCTCTGTTATTTTGGGCTCTGCATTTTTCTTGCGTCGCGCCATTGATCGCTCAGCATCATCATCAAGTGAATCATTGCTTCGTTGGCGTTTGATGAGGGGCTGCGCTTCGTAGCGTTCGTTGGTACGGAGAGATACTCCTTCTCCATTTTTCCACCTGACGAGCTCGGCCGGGCGACCGGTTTGGCTTAGACCCCCTTCGAGGGTCACCTCATCGTCCCTGGACTGATGTGAGAGGAGGGCAGTGGAAGGGTCGACAGTGGGTACATACGGTGAGTAATCCATCTCGTCGGCGTCAGCTGCTGCGGCCTCTTCACCGGAGCGAGCTCGTCTAGCGGCGCCTACCTGAGCTGCCAGTCTTCCAACTTGCTGAACAAGATCAAGGAAGTAACCGTTGTCGTAGGGCCGATCAGAAGCACGCCTCTGTTCTGGTTCAGAGAGATGATGGAATGTGTCAAGAACGAGTTGAATAGAGAATTCGCCAAAAGATCGGTATAATGTGTGAGAGATGGCGAGTCTCTTTGGGGTTGAAGAGGGAGCGTCAGTATTTGACATGCTGTTGAGCTCAAGAAGGGTGCTTACAAGGGGCTCGAAGATGAGACTTTGTTCCAGATCACGGAGACATTTGATGGTCTTGTTGGTTCTGGAACCAAGAGTGGACACGAGAGGATGGAAGAACTTGAAACGATCTTCGCGAAGAATAGGTTGCAAGATATTGTCCGCAAACTGCTTGCGGGCAAAAGTGCTCAAGTGTGAGTGTCCAGGTGTGCTGGAGGTCATGGGTGAGATAGATCGAACAATAGCAGACTGAGCTTCGGATGCAAGGCTGCGTTGCCTGATCTGGGGCTCCCTGTTCACAACACCTGCAAACTGAGTGTCAACAGTGTCAAAGTACATCAAGACACAACGAGCAATCCAACCTTGAATCAAGTCTCCCACAAAAAGACCGTCTTCTTCAGAAGTCTCACCTCCAGCTCGTACATGTGTTTCTTTGGCACTCTCGGTCTTAATGGACGATCCGAGTCCGCTGTCCAGGTCAAGTGCCCTCTCGAACACTCTGGTCAAGTCTTTGTCCGTTGGTGTGCTGGCGGATGATCCGAGACCCTCGTCAGAAGGCAGATGAGTGGGATTGTACACACCACGGCGGCCACTGGCTTCGTTGACGCCCCTGCGGTGCGCCCGTCGTTTGCCTCGAGCACCAGAGAAGGTATGCTCAAAGTCTTGTATGGAGCGAGCAGCGCCTTCCTCTTTTTCAAACAACAGACTGATGAGCGAGGCCTGCGAATAGGTAGGCGATCGTCGAGCCAGGTGACGAATGCTCAGGACGGGAGAGTCCTCGGTTGGTGGTGAGGACGGGACATGGAATGTTGCGCCCTTCGACAAGGACATCTTACGAATAGCACATGGTGATGTTTCCGGTGAGTAGGGTGGAGACGGGGGATAGTGGACTTTTGTATGGACTCGAGTCCGTCGATGAGCAAGTGGTGAAGGAGGGGGAGGCATGGAGGGAGAAGACATGCTGAGTATTAAGGTGTCGAGTCACTTGGTACAAGTGTATGACACAGGGAACACTAGTACCAGACTTAGCACGCTCTCGATTGGGTCGAAACTCTCTCTTGTTCGAGAGCGTGTGACTCACCCCTGCCTTGCGGGTTCCAAAATGGGTGGATGGGAACTGAGGAGGGCTGGAGCTTCGGTCTAGCACCAGGTATGTCCCGAGGGCCAGAAAAGCAATCCAGCAAGCGGCATCAATTGGCAATGTGGCAGAGGAGCGTTGACACCGAACCTCTGCAGTGAGAGGTCCGAATCTCAGAAGGGGTCCAAGGTGATGCAAGCCAAGGTCAAGACGGCGGATGAGCCAACGTATAAGCTGCAGAGCGCGAAGGGGGCAGAATAAGTCCAAGTATGGAATGTAAAGCCAAGTGCTAGGAGGCGAAGCAACTTGCTGGTCGTGCCAGAGGGGGGGTGGTGAATGCGGGAATCGAATGGATCCTCCTTAGATAAATTAGGTCATAATATGGAAGCAAACAAGCACTTCGCTGAGGGAGACACCAGCTTAGCGAGACTTCCCAGTGGTGGGAAATAGAAGACAATGTGTCAAGATGACTGGAAAGTGAGAGGATGTCAAGGTCGAGGTCGAGGTCGAGGTCGTGGGGAAGTGAGAACGAGAGAAGAGTTGATGGAAAGTCGACCCTCTGGTATCATGGACTTGGGGCCAGGGTTCCAACGCTGCAGCCTTGAGCTAATTTAGCGGATGCGCGTCCTTCATGCCCGCATACTAGGTTAAGTTACTGTGTAAACCACGGACACTCCGACGACGAGACTACCTTTATTCTTCACCACTGATGAGTGAGATGGGAGGATACAGGAGCGAAACTTTATCGTATTGGTCCTCGTTCAAACCCAGTGCTGTCGTATCCATGCTGGTGCAGCCCTCGTAGAGCGATGCCAGTATGCCGACAAGACTAGAGAGTACCGTCAGCGTTATGCAGGAGTACGAAACACAGTGTGTAACTTACCATCAGATACCGCTGCTGCTCTCCGCCCTTTGGAGACCCAAATGGGTGGATGACTAATGCCTGCTGCGTTGGAAGAGTCGGTGGCCCGAAGAGGAAATCAGCCTTGCGAGATGCCCCGTGCCGCAGCGTCTTAGCACCCATACAATACAGTACCGTCGCACCTGGCCCCTAAATCACTCACGAGCGCAATACAGTGGAGTTCGGCACATGCAGTAACTGCTAGTAATCCAACTGAAATTGTTGAGAAGTTTCAGCAGGGCAGGCTCCTTGAATCTTGAGGCTCAACTTGCATGTCGGAACAAAACAACAACAGCATCCCGCCTGTGATCAGCGCCCAGCTTGCACTGTGCAATCTCATTGGTCGATTTAAACAACGGCTGTTACAAAGACGAGTGTTTGGTGGCTTGATAGATTTTCTTCATGATACATTTCACCACTGTGATGGATACTGTGGCCTCAGCCTCTTGATTCGATCTGTCCCCAACAAAATCCCTGCACTTACCGTCCTGCTGAATACGCATGATACGTTGCCAGTCAATCGGCAGGTCAATCGGCAGGTCCCATATTCTGCAGAGGACAATCACTCATTGAGGAGGTTCACTTTGACCTAGTATCAATGAAGATTCGTGCTTGACAGACCCCAGTGATCCAAGTCCAATGGCATTCCATGCTGTTCGGCCCCGCCCATTGGTAGAAAGTACTTCCAGCGCCAATTGCAGGAAGAAGGTCAAAATCTGTTGTGACTCCTCATGAGTCATCCATGGCAGTTAGACACATCATTCTGCGGATACTCTCCCGCCTTCCGCATTAGAGTGCGTTATATCGTTGTGGTGGTGGTGGTGCGAAAAGACCAGGCTTACGTAGTCAGGCGTCCCATGGCCCATGGACGCCGGGCAGGGCATTCCGCCGTTGCGAATACATACCTACTGGATGCGTGCTCGTACCTCGTACCTGTTAGCTGTCCTTCATTTAGAACTAAGCCTTGCCAATATCATCGGACGGTCCAGTTAGTTGTTACGCAATCGGTTAACCGTTTGCGTAGTGGGTGTATGATCCTGGAAAAGAGCTTCATCCCTTCAATTGACCTGTCAAGGGTTCAATGATCACCGTTGATGAATAGGATTTTTCCACTGTACATTCACATTCTCTTGTTCCGGCGCTACTATCAGAAGCCCGGGTTTCACGAACGGAAAGATGGCCAAAGAGACTCGTCCTGTGTGTGAGAAAGGTTCGCCCATGGAAAACATACCACTGCCCTGAGTTACCCTGCAGACTGAGTACATATCATTTCCGCTACGGTGCGCAGACAATATCCACTCATTTTACAGCTAGCGTCGTCTAGTATTTCCATGTTCTCTTTACTATTTCCTGAATGGCGGCCACAGTCATCGAATATCGCTAGTTAAAGGAGAGAACACTACCCCCCTCTAGATTACGAATGAAAGGCAATATAGCACGTTTCCCTGTCCAGGTCTTTACTGTTCCTGTGTGATGTCCGTCTTCCTTATGTCATGCCTGTCAGTACTTGCATCTTTAGTCGGATGCGGAGCAAGCGAGGTCCTTTTACGATATCCAAGCTGTATGCGGGCCTCTAGAGGCAAGCAAAAGGCAAGCCTACACAAGGGAATATTTCCAAAGCAATCTCAACTGTATCCCCTCCATGCCCGAACAGGGGTGTAGAATGCCTCAATTAGCGTCGTCGATCTCCTTATTTCGATGTTGCTACAACTTTTGCTTGCTCGAACGCCTTTGATAGATATTCGGGAATAAGTGTCTTCAAGAGCAAAGCTTTAACTCACTTGTCAAATGATTTGTCTGATAATATATTCATTGAATGCTGGTTAGACGATGTCCTGTGAGCGACCTTATTTGAGCTTAAATTTCACCAAACGCGCTAATTGAGGCATCGGGCACGGAGGGGATAGCTTCCTCAACCCTCAACGAGCAGCATCTCCCTTTTCTATGCCATCTTCAGCTGTTACCTTTCCCTCCTCGTCCTTCTGGCCCATATAATAAGAACCCACCAGGTGTAACCCCATCTATATCTCCTAAAGAAGTCCTCAAGATAGTAGCGATGGATAAAAACTCCCTACCCCGACAAGGACAGCAACAATACCAGCAACGAGCCACCAGACAAAGACTCCTCAACGGAAGACAACAAGCCCTCCAAACCACAACGGCTCTACTCAGCACAGCCCTGCCTCGGTACCTCGCTAGGTACAGGTGCCTTGCCTTCAGATCAAGTCCCTCCCCGCCACACCTAATCCTCAATCAACCCCCTTTCCCTTCCTCAACAGCACAAACAATATCTCCTCTAATGGCAAACGACATGACTATTGACATGGCGCAAAAACGGAACCCGGCACCTAACTAACACGCATCTTCGAGTGGTCAGGTCTGAACGAGATTCTCAAAACCTTGCCAATATTCAAAGTCCAGATGAAGACTGGAGAGTAATTGGAAAGGGTGAAAGGCTGGACAATGCAGACCACATTCCAGATACTGAAGGGTCACGAAGGTGGAGAAGAGAGGCAAGAAGTGGTTGTGCATGTTGAGATTTTGGAGAGGGTTTTGAGGGGTTTGAAAAAAGGGTGATGGAATATGAAGTAAAACACAAAGTGAATGTGCAGGGAGGAAGAGCCCCAAGGTGCCGGTCGTCAAACAGATTGGAAAGTTGAAGTAAGGATTCAAATTGACTAAAGGACCCCTGTAGCACATAGCATATAAAGGCAAACAGAGAAATTGATTGACGGATGTTGTCTAATTACAGTTAGAAGAGACTGGAAGTGACCATTTTTTTAATGACCGTGCTGGTCTCTTTCGAGCAGACTAGCCGCCCATCAAGTAGTCTCGGGAGAGTGAGATTTTGGAGAAGCCTGATGTTCGCAGAAGACTCCAAACTGAAATGTTACACAATGTCAATGCAAGGCTCTCTGATAGGAGAAATGTCAGCTCTCATCCTCACATGTTCTTTTGAACGCCACACTGACCTATGTAAAGTTCTTGGTGAAATTGGTGACCACCTCCTTCAATTGCCCTTCCAAGTCCTTGCTCAACTGACCCTGCTTGTCAATCTGCTGTAGAAGCTCGGATTCATTGCTCCTCAAATGTGCGAGGAAATCAGTTTCCCATGTCAAGATCTTGTTGACCGGAACACCGTCCAGGTGGCCATTCACACCAGCATAGATGAGAGGCACCATCTCGTTGACAGCCATAGGAGAGTACTGTTTCTGCTTGAGAAGCTCAGTTAAACGTTCACCACGATTGAGTGTCTGCTTCGTAGCCGCATCAAGATCAGAGCCGAATTGTGCAAAAGCAGCGACTTCTCGATATTGAGCCAAGAAGAGTTTGAGGGATCCCGCAACTTGCTTCATAGCCTTGAGCTGAGCAGCAGAGCCGACACGAGAGACAGAAAGTCCGACATTGATAGCAGGCCGGACACCCTTGTAGAACAGCTCAGCTTCCAGGAAGATTTGGCCGTCAGTAATGGAGATGACATTCGTGGGAATATATGCAGACACATCACCACCCTGGGTCTCAATGACCGGTAGGGCAGTTAGAGAACCACCTCCGAGCTTATCGTTCATCTTGGCTGCACGTTCCAGGAGTCGAGAGTGGAGATAGAACACATCACCCGGATAAGCTTCACGCCCAGGTGGGCGACGAAGTAACAGTGACATTTGACGATAGGCAACAGCTTGTTTCGAAAGGTCATCGTAGATGATGACCGCATGCTTGCCATTATCACGGAACCATTCGCCAATGGCAGTGCCTGTGAAAGGAGCGATGTATTGTAGAGGAGCGGCTTCTGAGGCGGTCGCGGCAACCACACATGAGTACTTCATGGCGTCGTTCTCTTCGAGGGTCTGCACCAGTTGAGCAACAGTAGAACGCTTCTGTCCCACGGCAACGTAGATGCAGTATAGCTTTTTCGTCTCGTCGTTGCCATTGTTCCATCGTCTTTGGTTCAGCATGGTGTCGAGCGCAACAGCGGTCTTGCCTGTCTGACGATCTCCAATAATCAACTCACGTTGGCCTCTACCGATTGGCACCATGGCGTCGACAGACTTGAGGCCGGTTTGCACAGGCTGATTGACGGAACGCCGGGGAAGGATGCCAGGCGCTTTCACGGACGCACGTCGTCGCTCGGAAGTCTTGATTGGGCCTTTGCCATCGATTGGGTTGCCTAGACCATCAACAACGCGGCCAAGCATAGCCTCTCCAACGGGAACATCAACCTGAATCGTTAATACAGCTATTGGTGAAGACGGATCTGATCAACGCACAATCTGTCCTGTCCGCTTCACTGTCTCGCCTTCCTTGACAAGACGATCTGAGCCGAAAAGCACAACACCGACTTGTCCGGCCTCCAAGTTCATGCACATGCCCTTAACACCCGAAGCGAACCTATGCAGATATCAGGCGCGAACCCGGGGCGAAGATTCGTAGTACTTACTCAACCAGTTCTTCTGCTTGTACATTGTTCATGCCATGCACACGGGCAATACCGTCACTGATAAAGTAATAGATCAGCCACCGTATCTTTCGATCCCGTCGAAATCTGTTCAGAATTTGCTTCCTCGTCGGTGTTCACCTACCCAACGGAAAGAACACGCCCAGTCTCGGCAAGGCCGGCTTCTTCTTGAACACCTCGGATCCGTTGTTCGAGGATGGATGAGACTTCAGTGGGAGAAGCTTTAGCATCGGCAGCGTAACTTCGAATCTGTTTACTGGCGGCATTGAAGGGGGCTTGCACAGATGCGCGGTTCTGTCAAGGAGTTGTGTTAGCCAAAGAATCAATTGCGATGCAATGAGAGCTATTAGAAGCTACAGTTGCACTACAACGACACAATTGAGCTTCTATGTTGTTTGGAGAGGCTTGCACGTGTTCGAGAGAACAATTTGAGCTTACCACCACAATCCTGCCCGAAGCAGAGATTGCACCAGCCGTGCGGCTAGACTGGCGCAAGGCGTTCCTGAACATCGTGATGGATACCCGAAGAATCTCGAGAATACCTTGCGGAATTCCAAGGCCTTAGGGAAAGTTAAGAGAATGGTAGGAAGGAGATGATTGTTGGATTGAGGTAGCTCTGAGGTTCAAGTTTGAAGTGAACCTGAGGAGCTCGGCCTAAACAAGCTAGCCTGAAAGTAGCCTCTGCCGAAGGGTCTATTCCAAGCTGCATAGGATTTCCAATTGATGGCATTAAGTTACTATAAATCTGTATAAATGCGCCACATGGACGGGCAACCTTCAGAGAAGCTTCACGGTGCTCAGCCATACTGTCCTCTTTCGTTTTGCATAACAAAAACTGGTACTGTCTCCATTCGCTGCTTACGACGCCTGAAGTTAGGGACACCTGCCTTAAAAAAGGCCATTCTCCGGCCAAAAATTCCTTCAATACCCAACATAAGGTGATGCTGTGCGGATGGGGAGCCACTTCTTAGTACCCCATATTACGACTAGATGTACCAGCCAAAGCGTCGCTCAATGTCACTATTTCATTTGGATTTGGCATGGCTATTATCTACTCTCTGGTCCCTGGGGATTGGCTTTCCTTTGGTCTTCTCCCCTTCTTTGGACATCCGAAACTTGCTGATGTCTGCTTGTACTGCTTTCTCCAAACGGTCTTTGAGCCCAGGTCGATAACCTAGGGAGAAAAGGATCTCCAGCCACACAAAGAGCGGTGCTAGGAACACAGCCTGAAATAAGTTGTCTAAGAGCGCCGGAGCCCTGCCCTCGAAAACGCCATGACCAACGAATTGTGCTATCCAGCTCACTAAGTGCGCACCGAAAGCCCAATAGTTTGCCCTTGCACCATAGGTAGATGAAAGATGATTCGCATAGGCAGTGCCTGCAAGCAGGATCACTGCGAGGATCCCACCTGCAACAGGCTCAAGGAGGATGTATAAACCGCAGTACAAGAGGCAGAATGTTGTCCCTGCGTTGGGAGGAAGGTTTGTTATCGTCAGACTCTCAGGCAGCGGCACTAATCTTGGCGAGTTTGTGCACTGTGGAGGGTCAGCATCGAATCAATATGATAACCATGGGCCTTTACAAGTAGGAAAAACGTCCATAATATAACAGGAACGCAGGTTGTGTGAATTGCGATGTTCACCTAAAATGTGCATTAGCGAATCTACTGAAATATGCACGATGATTCAGTACCGGATTGTGATGGTACGCGCCATACTGCCACATGTTAGTTTAGTCCTGCATAAGTGGTTTCGCTACTCACAAATCGTAGTTGTTTCTCCAGATTCAACGCCATATCTATGGCTTACCATTCGTCTCACCCTGATGTAGCCGGAGCAGCTCTCTCTTCACCAGCATGAGCGTGGGCTGGAAGTCGGAGCCCTCCTGTGGAGTGTAAAAGAGCTTCTCGGCTGTGGAGGCTGGGAAATCTATTCTCCGAAGGAACGCTGTGGCCTTGGCTTACTACTCCCTTTTCGGAATAAATAACAAGAGGTGGCGGTTAAACGAATTACTACGTATGCCGCTATGATCTTGATCTATCGAGTTATTCCTAAAGGTATACGTATGTTGCACACTCAACCGAAAACCCATATAGCAGCAGAGTCCGGTCTGTCGCAAATAATGACACATGCAATGGATCAGGGTCCGTTGACGCAGTTGAGCCTGCATGTGATTTTCTTTGTTCTCACTACGGTAGATGTATTGATCCGGCCATCCCTCCTCTACATCATCATTGTTCTTCCTTTCACTCATTTGCGAAAGACTTTGGCTTTCAAAAATATCCTTCATCGAAGTGGCTCATTCTACACATCGGCCACAGACAGATGGAAAAGATGCCAATTGGTCGTCGGAAGATGATCGGTTCACTCTTGATGAGAAATGCAACACAACACCTTTGAAGATGATGGAGGAAGATCCTGACACTGCATGTACCTCACCCGCTACTCAGAATCCTCAAGCAGACACAACAAGCGGCCTAAAACCCCGGGTCAGAAAATCAAAGCCATCCTCTAGAAAAGAAATTCTCTCCGGCTCATCTCCACCCGAGGCATCATTGCTTTCTGACATCATCTCTGACCTACGGCGATTGCCCAGAGCAGCTTATCCATACTGGAAGTGGCCGTTGTTGGCGTACTTTGTGTGGATGGTCTTAACTTGGGCAGCAATGAGTGTCTACACGAACATTGTCGACAGATTCGAGCCACTCTGTTCAACACCCTGGCTCGGACAGAAGCTCCCATGGTGCTACGTTCCTTCGTCTTCAACATCATTGGAAGTTGCCAAGCTGCCCATTTCCTGCCATACAGGACTAGAAGAGGTAGTGATCTCCACGGGAAAGGGCTTAGGTCTAGCAATGGACATATTGGACAGCGAATTCGCTGTTAGAAACTTGAACATTCGAATACAGCACAGTGCATTGAAATGCAGGGAGGAGTTAAGCGTGGAGTTGAATAAACTCATCTCTCTCACCATGCAGACCTCTGAGTATGTGATTCGGGAGATATAAAATTAATGCTGACAAATCTCCAGCGGCATCGCAGACTTCACTTCACTGCTTGCTAGCACTGCCGACGCGATCATCTCATTTGACCACCTCGCCTTGCGAAATATGCAAGCAATTCTTGACCAACAGAACAGCACGCCCTCGCTTGTAAAGACTCTGGTGTCCTTACTTGCTCCGTTATCTGCTTTCGAGTGGAGATTCAAAACAGAGGAAGAGCTCAGGGAGATTTTTCTCCGGACCATGGACCAGATGACCAGCCGGTTGCCTGCCTTGATCAAGGAGGCTAGCCATCTCTGCCACCTCCTTGATCTTATTTTCAAAGTTCTTGGCCGTGTCCGGTCTGTAACTCTAGGTGAGTTCAAGGACACACCCAAAATGAATATCCTTGTCAGACTATGGAACAGGCTTTCCCGCCCCAATGACTACGCTGATGGCAAATCTCGTCTGATCTTGTTGAATGATGTCCCCATGTACTATCAAACGGCAGCAAACATCATGAAAAACAATCTTTTTTTGCTAAACAAGATGCGATCTGACCTGCGCCAGCTGCAGCATATTCGTGCAGTTCCGGTCTTCGTGTGGCAAGATATCCCACTAGAAAATACCATGTATATGATAAACCGGGCCATGAAGAGGTTAGAATACGGACGTCAGAAGATCGATGGGATGGAGCCGGACGAGTTCAGCTTCCCAATGAGTACTGCGACCTCAACGGTTCTTGCCTAGTCAGCGCATTAGGTCTTATTACCTCGGAACGAGGCAACTTGGGCTGCGTATCTGTTACTATGCTCCGCCGCTAAATGCTTAGTCTGTTTAATCTATTAGATCTTACCCAAGTCTCCATCTCTCGTCATCAATATTTCATTTAATTGATCACATCATGGAACTCCAGACTGGCCTGATCTGGGGAAATGAACAAGAGACCGCACATTTGCCAAGAACCTTTAATGAAGACCTCCGTCTCATTGTCTGATTCTCACTGGATGCCCAACGTCCCCATGTATCAGCATGCTATCATGACTCCCCTCTGCAAGATGGGAGTCAAAAGTCCGCAAATAAGGAGTTGATGCGCAAGGCAATTCGCTCCTCGATACAGCAAGTCTGGCCTCATTGCATGAACGACTCTTCAATAAGATTGCAAGATGTCGTCGTCGACGTGTACGAGGATGCAAAGCAACAATTTCGCTGGCTTGTGTGCCATGAAGACAGTTTTATTCAGTACCTAGGGTCACTGTGGCCGGTGAGTCGCCTACTCGGTGGCGAACCAAGAACAGTATCCGTGGAGACGAAGACATGAATATGTTCACTATTCGGCTCTTCTTCCACTTCAGATTTTGGGGAGAGGGGAAGTTCGACGCTAGTGCGCAGTTCCGAAGGACCATTCAAACTGTATGTCTTCAAGAGAACTGATTTCGGCCTCTTCTTGGAATCTCCGAGCGATTTTCCACATGAGCGGGACACCTTCTATCATCAACTTCGAATAACCTCCACAATGCCAAGACATCCAAATATCATTTGTCCACCAGAAATACTAGTTGTGACCTCCAAAATTCAAGATGGTGGGCAGATGTTCTTATGCGGAACTTTGTACCCTTTCATGAAAAACGACTCGCTAGATCAAGTAGTGAACAAGTCACCTATCACGAAGACACGCCTCCCATTGAAAGACAAAGCTAAGTGGTGTCATCAGTTGGCTTCAGCTCTTTCTCACACCCACTTCAAGGCGAATACGTATCACATAAATATCAAGCTCGGCAACTTCCTTCTGAATGACGACGAGGACTTGTTTGTGACTGACTGGGAGGAGAGTGAAGCACCCTCTTCAACCCTCGCGCCCGAGGCCAACGGGTGCTGGGATGTTGAAAGCATCAGAAAGCCACGTAGAACGGCCGGAGACTCTAGCACTTCCACATCTATGTTCGTGTACAAAAAGTATGAAGGCACACCACGACAGCACCTCTGGAGCTGGCCAGAATGGAACGTCTTTCCAACATGGAGAGAAGAGTGCCCAGAAGCTTTAGAGAAGGCGGAAGTCTTCAGTTTAGGTCGAACCATGTGGATGGTGCTCGGACAAGTGGCATCAACCTGTGACATCGATGTTGACTCCATGGTTAGCTGGGACGAAAGTGCATCGGACATTCCACAACACTGGAAACATCTTGTTCCACGTTGTGTAGAGGCCGATCCTAACAAGAGGATTGGATTGTCTGAGCTCACAGGCTGCTGCGAGTACTTTAGGCGTGAACACTAGACTTGGAGGTGGCCAAGACCTTTTTGAAATCTCAATTCAATGGCTTCACAAATAGCTTAGTAAAGTCTTGTTGTTGCTAATGAAAAAATGAATTGGTCCACCATCTGTGGATAGACTGATAATGAGAGCCTTGATGAGACCTAGAATCAGATACTTGAAGTGATGGAACATCGACTAACCCATCATTGAGGATTATCTGATTCAGGAGCACACTTGTGCCCCTTTCTCAACGACAACCTACCATTTAACTACGTTATGAATCCCTGGACTCTGAACAACACAACGGCTCTTGCACTGCAGGAGAACGGCTACTCCAGAGCCACTACCTGTCACTCTATCAGTGACAGTTGCAGGGGAGGTAGCAGGAGGATGAATTTATGGACATAACTTGCTGAATCTGCCACATAGCCTTAATGGCGCCACCCTCGCTTGGATTTTCGTCGAAAGGCAGCGTGATGTTGGCACGTCTGCTAGTGAAGTCAACAGTAGGTGCCGCCTGCGCAAGGGACACCCCATCGAGCGTGCAGAGGCCAAAAATATGGCTGGTATGTTTCTTCTCAAGAATAGAACGATATCCTGAAAGGGATTCTCTCATACGGTCGCCCATGGAGACCTTCACGCCCCCATAGGTGAATACATACGGCATCACCCCGTCTTTGGTGAAGCACCAGGAGCTGGGGTTGGCCAGCCCGCTTGCTTCGTTGTTGGTATTCCAGGGGACAGCCACGTTACCAATGTTAACTAGCATCTCGTACTGAGCTAGATCATAATGGCGGTGGACAAGGGTAACACCTAGAGAGCAATTGACCTCACGCTTCGGCAAAGCCTGCCCAAGCTCCTGCAAAAGTAGTCCAGATGTGTTGGCTTCCTCGAACCCTTTAGCGGAGTCCATGATATCAGGTATAGAATTGAACTCGGCTGCTGTATAAGGTAGCAGGTTGGAAGCCATAGTGAGGGCAGCGTTACTTCAACGGTCAACATACGAATGCAATGAAGAGTTTTGGCATCGATACATCCTCAGGGACTCGGCTTGGATGATGGTGTGAACAACTTTGGTAATACAAGGAAACAGCTGTGTACATTTCTGCATTCTTATAGGCATCAAACACAGAAGACCGTATGATAGATAAGTAGGGGAGGTTTGCAACCTCGTGGCGCAGCAGGCCGTGCCAGATTAGTGGCTCCTTGCAAGTCAATTGTAGCCTTTTCCATTAAAGCTGTAGTCCTTCCCTACTTTAGTAGGAGGTGAAGGAGGCCTGGTGCTAACGTAAGGAAGAAAAGTGATGAAACTGAGGGCGGATAAAACCATCAGCCAACATGGGACATGCCAAATATTCCCAGCTTTTCTAGAATGTGTGACCACACATTGGGACATCTCACCAACGAGCAACCGCACTCGATGTCGTCCCAACATGCCCCAGAAGCGGAGAGGGTTTGAAATGGAAAAAGGTGACATAGGGGAGCTGCGCCGTCTAGGTGATTGGGTAGTGTCAATCCTTCAGCAGCGTCGTTGCAGATCTACATACGAACGATACTCCGAAGAGAGCGGGTAAGAGTGGTTTGTGAATACTACAACGTAGGTTATACATTCCATGACTCTCTGAAAACAAGAGTCACCATTCTTGTATCCCTTCTTTTCCGAAAGGGTGAAATCACCAAGTTGCGTAGACCTACAGTATGACTGTTACGGAGTATGAGGAGCTGGTTGTATGGCGGTATTACCCGTGGACTAGTAGTCACCTGACTCAGGTGACCTCTGGGCAAGCTTGCATGGCAAGACTGCTGAGTTAGTACAGGAGTGGAGTAGTACTTTGAATTTGAATGTAATGGTCTGAAAAAAATACCCATTCCTAAGACAGAGACAATTCGACGGAGTGCCTGAAGACGCACGAAACCACATACAGAGCATGATACATCAGTATCCTTCAGCGCGCTCCCTGCGCATTTTCTGAATGGTGCTCAAGCAGCCTTCATTCCGCCACGAGCATTATTCTACAGCCAAGTTCTATCCTGATACCTAACTAAGAAAAAGAAGCAGCTTCAACCCTTATATGCCATTGCTTGCCTAAAAGTTATCTCGCACTCCTCGCATCCTCGAAGGTCCTGCCGTCGCGATCGCCTTCAAAATGTTTTTCTTACGGTATCTCACGCGCGAAATGACAATGAACCCGGCGCTTTTTGCCAAAGACATGACTCAGATTCTGAAAGAACAACTCTACCAGCAGATGGAAGGGGATTGCAATGGCGAATTTTACACTATTTGCATCTTGGATGTTACAGATATTTCGAAAGGGAGGGTGCTGCCAGGAACTGCAGAGGCCATGTTCACGCTGAGCTACCGGGCCATAGTTTGGAAACCATTCAGGGGAGAAACGGTAAGATGGAATCGTGTAGCCACGACCTCTTTCTTTCGGAGTAGGTCTGTGCTTACAATGTCATTACAGCTCGACTGCATGGTGACGAAGGTCAATCGTGCAGGCTTATTTTGTGAGGCTGGTCCCTTGACCATCTTCGTAGCGCAAACGGTACACTTTCCATTTGGCTGATGTCCTCGCTGGGGCTCCTTTACTAATCTCCTTTAGAATATGAAGGCTGGTATGACCTACAATCCAGATACCACCCCACCACAATTTTCAAATGCTAGGGGAGATGAGATTATCGACAATGGCACAGCAGTCAGAATACAAATTATGGGCCTAAGAAGCGATGTTAATGCTATCATGGCGATTGGCAGGATGTCTGATTCTTGGTTTGGGTATGTGGTGATCAAAATCTTCTTGGCTCTTAGAGCAAGACTAACACAGTGTGTCTCTCCAGTCCACTTCCAGATTGAGAACATCTAGACTTTGGCCTCAGCATTATCTACCTTGGACGGATTGCAAAGATGAAATTTCTAGGAAATCTTTACCCAAGTTGAGGTAATTGCTTGAGTCTCGTGCTAAATGGCCCCTGAGCCTGTTCGAAGGAAGACAACGGAACGTAGTCTTACGAGGTATCCATGACAATGCACAGCAATGACTGTCAAAGCTGCAGCAGGGCATAGGAGCAGCTTAAATTAGCATAATGGGCACTATAAGCGATTCTCGTTGGCAGACGTCAGGGAATTAGAGAGTCAGACGAGAGACAGTACAGTATTGAATAGCAACATGGGGTAGACCTTTCTGAAAGAATGGACTATAGCCATTATTTCCTTACTCTGGCCGACAATGAGATTGGTTGGCCGAACCCTGCGGTGAAGCCAAGAAAACACTGGGGCAAGCGCGGGTTTAAGAACTGTCCCCCATGCTCTTTGTTTACATTTCACGATAGCAAAACATTCAACTTGCAACCATCCTCGAACCCCCTTGATATTGTCTATACTCTATTCTACATTAGACTTCCGAGTGCAATGTCCATCAGAGCGGTGTATGAGGGGTTTCTGGCCTCCCCAAATCCTCTCAGCCTGTCTGAGAACGCTTCGCTTAACTACATTCCTACCCTTCGAACCTTTACTCAACAAGGCGCCATCATTCGACATCTTGAGAACCAGAACCGAAATGAAGTGCGCAAGAAGTCAGAGAAGGTTATCGAAGCAGTTGAAGGACAGAATTCACTCTGTCTAGATGTAGAGACCACACTAGAATTTATTTCTAGTGGAGGTGCCTACCTACCTGGCTTGGAGAATTTCGTGACAGACAGGATCGTGACTTTCCCAACCGTAAGCTGGCTCAAGAAATTGTTACATTCTCCTAATGACTGACACATCACAGATCCATATCGTCAATTTCGACAGTGAGAGCAAAATCCAGCGGATTCGAGTATACTGGGATCAGGCTTCGTTGTTGATGCAGGCGGATATTATTGGTGCTCGGGGCAGAAATTGGCCTATCACTGACGGAAAAGAACAAGCTCGCCTTATCTCGTTAGCACAGGTGGGAACAAAATCAGAGACGCCCATGACTCGTGGTAGGGATATGGACGACGGTGCAGTTGCCCCAAGAAGCATGTCTCCCAGTAAAAAATACATCCGAGATCCCCACACCTCGCTGGCTTTGTTCACAGAACAAACCGGTGAAGACAACGACCGAATACCTCAGCCCGCAATGATTGCCCCACGTGCCTCTGCCAGGCCAGCCGATCATGACTACAGTGAGCTTTTTGCAGCAGGTAATGAGGAGAATGAGCCTGGCAAGGGAGATCCATCATCTCCTAAGAAGCTCCACACTCAGCCAATCATCGCGCCCAAGGGAGCTAATGGGTCGAAGTATCAACCATCTCGTCTGTTCGACCCAGACGCCAAGGAAGATCTACCAGCGAAGTACAAATCCAATCCTGCCAAGTACAATCATTTCGATCTTGGCGAGGTTGAGGATAACGACCCCTTTCAACATGCGAAACCGCCAACGACCAAAACTGTTCCGATGCGGGCGAAAAGCAATAAAAACATGCCACAATGGGACTTTGAGGACTTTGTGACACCAGAGAAGATCCGGCATCGTGTTCGTGGACAGGATGTTCGCCACTTTGGATGGAGTGATGATGAAGGTGAGAAGGTTGAAACTCCTGGGAAGCAGCCAAAAGTCGTACAGCCCAGGCGCGATACTGAGCCTCACTTTGATTTTACGGATAGTGGTCCTCCTAAAGCTGCTCAGCATCGAGGCGCGGGTGGGCAAAAGGGGACGGCACACAACACCGGTATGGGGATGTACCAGAATAACCTGTACGAAGATGGAATAGGTGATACCAAATCCAAGCATGAGAAAGTGCCGTTAAGTGCCGTCACTACAAATGTGGGGCGCACCAAAGACTTCGACAAGCACTGGGCCATGTCAGACACATCTCCTGCCACAGGCGACAAGATCAACAACGAGAATCAACCGTTGGCAGGCGATCGAAAGAAAGCGGTGCAGACGGTGGGCGCAAGCTGGCAGTCATACGACGAGTCGCCCGAACAGAATAAGAAAGTTGTGGGATCAAAACCATTGAGGAAAGGAATGGAGAGCCACTGGGGATTTGGTGATGAGGAATAAGAGCAGATCGCGAGCGGCAAAAAGAGTGAGAAGAACTATTGGGACTTCTAGCTAAGACAAGGGGCATGGACTGGGCATCTCGTGGCTACTCTCAATACATGATAGCTGCCAGAGATGTTCTAGCAGCTTGGCGGGGTAGACAGCTTTCCCTGGGTGCGCCCTTGATAGTACCGCTCAGATGAGGAACACCTGCAGTGCTACGTAGGTAACAATGACTCACAATTTCCCTGGCACATGCTATGTGATATGAGCAGAAGCTCGTCCAACTTGCTTTAAGTTAGCCAGTATGCCGGACTTTACGGACATAAACTAGGGTGCCAGGTCTTGACTGTACCGTACTACTTACCTGGTGATTGTCAGGGTGTGCTCCAGTATCCCATGCCGTTCGGACGAAATGTCGCGGATCACCCGCGACATGAGCACAACCACTTAAACTCTGGCCACCCCGGCTTGGCATTCCCTAACATTCTGATTAATCAGAAAGGTTTTGTTGTAAATCTGTAAAAGAAAAATACTTAACAGAATTCTTGTCATACTTTGTATAAGATTTGTATACATTTTGTTATAAGCAATCATGATTGATTACGATCAATTGTAGACAACTAATTTCAACTGAGTGTGCATGAATTAATCTCGATTCCTACTTCAATAGGATTCTTGTTAAGAATTCGTATGCAGATGCAGTACAACTTGTTGTGATCAACCATGAGCACTTAGGAAGACTTATTGTACTGTTATTACTAGTGGTATTAGTGGCGTACGCTATCAGCATGCGGCAGCGGGTAAAGTACACCTCCGTCTTCCCACCTCCTTTGTGTGGCTGCGGCTCCTGACGAGTACCCGTGAATCATGAAACTGAAGCAAACCAACCGATGCTTGGCTCTAAGCACGTTGTTTCCTACCACTGCAACACGCAATCCCCAATCCCCGGGCCTTGACTTCTGTTTTAATTCGAAATCGATTCACAACTTGTGTTGTATTCCAGCTGTGAGTCTCAATTGCCACTCAATCTTCTAGGAGTCGCAGAAACTGAGTGCTTCAATCTCGCATCTAGCAAGTCCTGCGCCACAAACACGACCCCTCGATAACGCCCGGGCAGGCAGACGCTTCGCAGCTCCCTGCACGGCGCTGCTGAGGATTAGCTGCATCAGCGAAGAACCCGAATCACATCACCAGAGACCATGACGCTTACATCTCCGTCTGCTCACTCGTCCCAGTCTGGGCAATCTCCAGATGCGCAATTTCGAATCGTCCGAAAACGGAATAGGATCCCGTTATCTTGCGGACCATGCCGACACCGAAAGCTCAAATGCGATCGTAGCACCCCATGTCAGAACTGTGTCAAGCGAGCGGATGCCGTCAGCTGTGTATATGCTACACCGACGAGTAGGAAGAGGACCAATCACACCCAATCTCAAACCGCTTCAAATTCGCCAGATGACATGCAGAATCGCATAGATCGCTTGGAAGGTCTTGTTTTGTCTTTGATGACAAATGGATCGCAGTCCGCTGGCCCGAATGCTGCAGCTGCGGTGCTTCGCTCAGCCGAAGCATCGAGCACCAGCAGTGCCCACCACTTTGATAGGAACATGGAAGAGACGCAGATGCTGGATGATGACGAAGTGCAGGGAGACGACAGCGACACAGAAAAGGTCACAAAGAGCTTCGGCGTCATGAAGGTGGACAATGAAAATAAGAAGACGGTCTATATCGGCGAGGACCACTGGGCAGCGATATTGACCGGTATTGCAGAAGTTAGGCATTTCTTTCAGACCCATAAGAATCAGTTCGAAGAACAGACGCAACGTGTGGCACAGACCAGGAAGGACAGGAATGATGACTCTGGTCCTGCTCTGTTATTTGGTGCATCGAAACCGCCTCCGCGCGCTGAGATACTCTCTCAACTTCCCTCGAAATACTTGACAGACATCCTGGTAGCTCGCTATTTCAGTACTTTAGATCCAGGCACACATGTCCTGCATGGCCCAGTCTTTCAGAAGCAGTACAACGCTCACTGGGCTGATCCGGCAAAGACCAGTATCGTCTGGGTAGCGATGCTCTTTGCCATGCTACGGATAGCGCTACTGTCATATGCGCAAGATGGCGACGAGCCACCTGAATTCGCAGGGAAGAGCTTGGATTTGAGTAACACATGCAGGGCAGCAGTTGCGAACTGCTTAATCCTAGCAGACTATACGAAGCCGCATGAGCATATTATCGAAGCTCTGCTTCTTCATCTTCACGCGGAATATCGCAAAAACCGAGACAGCGAAGCAAGTATCTGGGTGCTTGTGGGGATGATCGTGCGACTGGCTATGCGCATGGGCTACCATCGAGATGCCAAGATGTTTCCCAACATAACACCCTTCCAAGGCGAAATGAGAAGGCGTGTCTGGACCTTTGTCCGTCAGGCAGATCTTCTGTTTTCATTCCAAATCTCGCTTCCTGGAATGATTCGTGTTGGCGATTCTGATACTGAACTCCCTCGCAATATCTACGACGAAGAATTCGATGAGGACACCACGGTACTACCACCATCACGGCCGTCCACTGATCGCACGACTGTAAGCTACATGATCACAAAGGGCCGCTTGGCGCTTGGCTTTGGTCGAGTGCTTGAAGAAGTTGGCGGTGTACATTCCAAGTCATATGAAGAAATCTTGAAGATCGACAGAGGCCTTCGAGACATCTTTGAAGCAGTACCAGAGCACCTGAAGCTACGGCCCATGAACGAGCAGTATCATCTTCCTATCGAGCACATCATCGCACGCTTCCAAATCTCTGCAATATACCACAAGAGTCAATGTGTTCTCCACAGGAGGTTCCTTCGATCTGCGAGGTGCAACCCTAGATACGCTTATAGCCGTCGAACGTGCTTGGAGAGCGCGATGGCTCTCATGAATTTTCAAATCACGGTACATCGTGAAAGTCGAGAAAATGGCCGGCTGAGAAACAGGAAATCCTGGCTTACGTCGCTGACTGCACATGACTTTTTCTTAGCTGCCACCATCATAGCCTCGGACCTGTATCCGGAAAAACAGCAGGCAGAAGCAAGTGTGGCAAGTACAGCAACAAGCCCCAGGACTAATTTCAGCGACAGCAACAGTGGCAGAAGCGCGAGCTTCAGCGATGCATACGGCTTCCACATAGGCATGGAACATTCCCAAGATGATCTCCTCAGGACTTTGGAAGAGAGCCGAGATATCTGGGCAGAGCTCCGCGACGAAAGCATGGAGGCATATAAGGCATCGGAGCTCCTTAACGTTATCATTGCAGAACTCAAGCCACGAGCAGGTGGCCCAGCCCACGGCATGGATGATCAACGCGAATATGCAAATAGCAACCGCAACGGAATCCATGGCCAAGTGGATGAGAAGCAGAATGCTGCTATGACACTTGGACTGCTGTCAAGTGGAGGCAAGAGTCCGAATGGTGGTGTCTCTGGGCAGCAAGTACAGGACCAGAGAGCCCCTGGAAACGTGTTCGACAACACCAATTCTATCGAGAGCTTGCTGCAACCAGCCGGTGTCTCATCAGTCTCAGGTGGTGGAGGTGTCTTCGATGCCCAAAATGGCGCCAACGGACCAATTCCCTTCTTGGGCATGTTCGGAGCCAGTATGCCGGATGACGGAGGCATGAATCTCGACTGGGTAAGTGATTCCTGCACAACAAATGATAACCACTCTTAACCTCTCTGACAACAGGATGCATTCGATTCCTATATTCAATCGTCGAACCTCAGCCTCGATCCAGCCAACACTCTATGGTCCTCTACATCACCTACTCCGAATCCCTTCCCAACAAGCATGCCTCCACCAAACAGTATACCTAGTAGCAACTCGACTACTACAGCGCCATCAACTTTCTTTCCCTCGCAAAACATGTCAGCCTATAGCTCCAATTCAAAACCTCGTACGGCACCGAATCCCGCGCAGAAATATGGTGGTGGTCCGCCGCTAGACCCTTCGATTCAAGGTTCCACCCCTTCGACTGAGAGCAGTCCGGGTCAGGTGTATATGGGCCTCTCTTCGCCGCATCCTGGTGGGCTTCCGGCCTGGAAATGGAATAACGTGGCGACGAAGCCGGGTTGATACCGCGCCAGAGAGGTTTGGTTTGGACTGTTATCCGCGTCGCAAAGTTGGCGGTTCTCTTTATCCTGGGAAATTGACTATCCATGATAGATAGCCTTGACGGTTGCTTTACTTGGGGGAAACTTTGGGTTGGTTAGGTCTCTTGACAATGAGACGTCGGTGTGGCGCAGGGCGAGAACTGGTTATCGAAACTGAATTGAATTGAATTGAATTGAATCAGCGATGTTCTTGTCAGATGGAGAAACTTTCACAAGTTGGTTTCTGAGTGTACTTGTTCATCCAAGAAATAATTGCGTGGCTGGCTTTGATTCTCCTCGCGGAGAAATGGGAACAGTTTTTGTTAGTCTTTATGGCCTTTGGTGCCTCTCTTCTCCAATACTACAGTGAACTACTATCAAAGGCATAGGCTCCCTACTACGATACTACCGGTAGCTGTACACCATTTTTTGGGAGACCATGCATTGGGAAGTCTCGCTCTTCTTGGTTACGTGACCATGCGAGTGACCATTTGTTCGCTCAAGACTAGTACTACCCGCGCTGCGCAAGATGTAACAGTGCCTGCTTCCACAACCGCCTGACCCAGTTCTTGATGAGCTTGCTCACTGCACTGATGATAATGATTATCTAAGATGATTGACCTCAATAGCAGCTTTGTATCATCTCTTAAGCTCTCAAGAAGCAAGCATCTAGATTCATCTTGCGCCTGAGCGTGGAATGACTGCTCGGGCCATTCGTACGCATTTTGCACCTGATCGATCGTGATTCCGTTGCTCGTTGGTGAAGTGCTAAACCAATGGAGGTGCAGTAGCTGGCGAGGATGACGGTATCCAGGACTGATTGCATGTTGGAAAAACTCATGAGCCCTTTCGATGCGTGTTTGCACGGTCTTGGAAGACACAGAGAGAGGGAGGATGGATTAAATCTGTGTGTTGATGCTGTGCGGATTTGGTGGTAGCACGGCTGATAGAACAATGACAATCTCACTACGCTTGCGTACTTGCTGTCCGGCTTGCATCTATGCAGGGCAGATTCTGCTCCTGTGCTGTTTAAAAGTACTGGAGTGTGCCAGGTGCTTTAGGCGCTAGAGCAGCCATGGTAAGACGAGTTCCTGTGAATGGCACAGCTGCCTAGGCGTCGTCTACATGGCTGTGACCAGTGACTGTGGCGATCTCGTGACTGGGCTCACCACAAGATCCTCCCTGACACGACCTGTCCTTGGAGGCAAAGGTGCCTGGTGGGCTGGCGTGATAGGCAAAGCAACCTCAAGTGTTGCGGCTGGAGGCATCTCTACGGTATCCTTATTCTGTGAGGAAGTTGTGTCAGGGGATAGAGGCTTGCTTAACAACCATCGTACAAACAGATCCAAGACTTCTTCTTGAGGAGAATTGTCGAAATCGAACAGCTGGCTGTAACGGATCTTGATACGCTGCTCTTCTGGTGCGATGTGTGCTTGGATAAGGCGTGCCTCTCTTCCATTAATGGAGACCATTAGAACCTTCAAAGGAGATAAAGTTAGTAAAGAAGGCTTTCAGAAGCATATTCCAAGCTAATTATATTGAGAACTGACCGGGAAAGTATGATCGTCAACGAAATCCTTTTCCTTCCTTAACATTCTAATCATCATCATGCCAATCAGAAGCATTAGTTCGTTTCGTAGCAACCCAGTTGCGTATGGGACTTCGTGGCAAGAAACACAGGCTCGATGCGGGTGATTAGGGATCTCCAACAGGTGGCTCATCTCACAGTCGAATGCTGTCAGTTTGACGAGTCTTTCCTCAGGTGCGTCGTCAAAGCTGTCAATCAAAATCAATTTTTGTGGAGGTTGTTTCTTATGGTAGACCTTACCACATAACTTCCCATGCGGTAGCGTCATGCACATTGTTTCCATCTTCTTCATTGTAAGCGTTGAGACGACGATCAATGCTATCTGAAATGTCATGTGCATCGGCTAGGTTCGGGAGCGAGCGTGGCCACTTGAAGGAGAACTTAAGTACTGATTCAAGGGGTAGCGCTTGCCACTGAGCTAGAGACATTGGGTGAAAATATTGGCCACCAGTTGCAGTCTCTCTTTCTAGGTCTATCTGGACTGCGTCGATACCCAGTTCAAACATGGTTGATGAACCGATATTGGGATCGAAAATGGAACTGAGGTCGTTGAATAACGTAAGCAGCGCACAGTAGAATTCCTCCTCGCAGGCCATTTTGAGATTTGTGTACTAATGGAAGTACAGGTAGACGTAGGAGTAGGATATTGTAGACCAGGATATGTGTCGCTCTTGTTGACACTGTCATCGAAGATAAGCTGGGTGATGTGGAAATTTGTGTTTACCTACGTAGGTACTCCGTACGTAGTAGTACGTAGTAATTGTTACTCATGCGGGCTCGGGGACCTAGTCACTAAGCAAACATGGTGTCGCTCTAAATCGGGCCGAGGCGGCTAAGGGTAAATTCATGTGCTCGTTGAAAGAAACCTAACATACTCGGTACAAATCTGTCTCTCTTGATCATTAACATTCTGTATAAATTAAACTAAAAATACATCAGATAGTGACTTATCTTACGACTTGCGATTTTACAACAAGAATCATCACAGCCTGTGAAGTTGATGTTAGCCAATCAAAATGTCGCCATTCTGGTTGGGTTAAAGTGCTTGCATCTCAGCTACGGTCGCGTTCAAACTGGCCCACTTACCAGTGGTACGTTAATAATCTTGGCATGCTCCTGGATTCAAGATCAGGGCACCACCGCTAGGGCATCCGCCAAGGCACATTCAAGGCGATCCTCAAATCAAAAGATTGAATTTGATCACTCGTAACACCAGATGCCTGGAGCTCTATATGTTGGTACTGGCATGCAATTCTTACATTCTGAAAGGGAATGACTGGTGCTTTTCCTACATAATATAAAGAATTCCCTCGAATGATTTGCAAGAGGGCTCAGCGGCGATTAAGCGACCATGCTGCACTCCCTCGCGTCTCGTGCCACAGCACCCTCAACAATGTGCCAAAAATAAACAAGAAATGCCTCTTTCAAAGAAGCTTATACACAAGGTCACTCGTCATTTCTGCATTTTTATCCTATCAGCACGCTATGTAAGGATTAACAACATCCAAGCTCCTCTCGTGAATTATAGTTGCGGTTGTTGACGAAAGACCAGAACGCCCCCAAGGGGTCGGGGTCGACATAGTCCAATGTCGCGCAGTCATTTTGGATTCTCTCGAGTCGCCATTCATCAACCCATACAACGAGCCGACACGTTTCTGGCAATACCGAATGGTATATATATGCACTTTCCGTTCTTTCTAAGGATTGGTTTGAACGACGGCGAGTTGAGGAAACTGTAACGCAGGTGTACCAGCAACGCAACCCTAGGTCTAGGCGGCAGTCGCTCCGGTGCGTGTTTATGGCGCAGCAGGAGACGAATAAGAGCTGTGTCAAGGGCTAGAATTGCAAGTGGCCTCACTGCAACTGGGGAGTCAAATCTGGGCCGAGCTCAAGGATTTATTTGTGTGGTGACCATATGACGAAGATAAACATCTGCTCTTATGAGTTCGTGATTTTCTACACGGATTGCCGGAGCGGGCACCAACCTGTCACAATTGAGAAGGGTAAAAGTTGGACAGATTGCGGAAGAGGCCCCCAGCTGTGCTGGAACTAGTTCTTCAGAAGCGGCTACATACTATCCCCGAGTCGAAACTCCTACCTTCCAGACCCAGGAATCCAGTACAATTACCAAATTAAACATATAATCCACGCCAGATCTCGTCTGCAGGCTGAGCAAGACCTCCCGGTCTATCTGGGAGAGTTGGTCGGTAATAATCAGTAAAGTGCGAGGTAACCTAAGAGATGTGCGGTCCAGGGGAACGGGTATGAGGTATTCTCGGAATGAACAGCTACGTGAAGGAGATTGAAAGGGGGCGTTGAAAAGGGTGTGAATGAAGGAATATCTTGGGCCGAAGGAGCCAGTCTTGCAATTGAAGAGACATGGGTACCCTTCAATATCAGCAACTCAGCAACAAATGAAATCGAGACTTGAGGTCGAAGATGCAATTGAGGGGTCAGGATTATTTTGGGGCTCTTTTTAACACAGAGATCTCTCCTGAATTTGTGCCTGATTTTGAATGTGCCTTGGCGGACGCCCTCAAAAACATCAAGAAGCAATAGCTTTGACCACGCTCATTAATCACTATGGATAGCCGTGTCTGTTCGATAATATAGCTTGTCATATCTCTTTCTGGTGCAAGAATATTGTTACTATCAAACGCAGGACAAGAGACACGCAAGAAAGCATCCACTAAAGCTGCACCATTGAAAATCTATCAAATCCAAAAATGGTAGGTCCAGCACGTGACATGGGCGCATACGAGTCCTGGCGTTGGTGGATCGGTTAGAACTCCATTAGTAGCAGCTGTGGTAAGAGCTGAACGCGACCTGACCGCTAGACAGTGAAGCGTTCAATTCCTCAGAACAACGAATAAATGAGATGTGAGATAGCACAAGACCAGTAAAGGGTTGAAAGCACTTGCGCGTCTCTTTCTGGAACCGCGGCAACCTCAAATCAACAGGGAAGCTATCTCACTGGAACTGCCATCTGCGTCTTACCCAGTCCACTGTTCACATTGCACAAGATGGCGGCCCAGTACTTTTTCGATGTGATATACTCCATCGCCAACTGCCTCGTCTGCTTCCCTTCGTCTCCCCAGCTCAAAATCAACAGCAGAAGCTTCAAGATGCTCAGATTACTTGGTGAGGTAGGTTCAAGCACTGTGCCGAAACTATCCACGCATCTTCTGGCGAAACACGCCCCCTTCTCTATACTACATCCTTACTGAGATTCAAGGCTAGGGCGGCTTCTCCTACGTCTACCTAGTTCAAGATACCTCGACATCCGAACTCTACGCCCTCAAGAAGATCCGCTGCCCTTTTGGCGCTGAATCTGTCTCACAAGCCCTCAAAGAAGTCGAAGCATACACCCTCTTCTCCACCGTACCCAACATAATCCACAGCATCGATCATGCCGTCCAGAACGACAGCGGTAGCAAAGTCTCCGGCATCGGCAATACTGGTAACGACGGGAGTAAAACAGTATACATTCTATTACCATACTACAGAAGGGGAAACTTACAAGATGCGATCAATGCCAACCTTGTCAACCACACCAAGTTCCCACAGAAGAGGTTGATGGAACTGATGCTGGGCGTGGCTAGAGCACTGAAGGGGATGCATCAATATCGCATGCCGAAGGGCTCAGGCGGGCATGCAGTAGGAGCTAAGAACAAGGCTCGTGCAGTAAGAGAAGAGGCAGCAAACGCCGACCGAGACGCGGCGAAGCGGGCCGGTAAATGTCAAAAGCAGAAAAGGAGAGAAATGGTTGCGGAGCCGCCAGACCAGGAAGACGGGGGAGAAGAAGACATACCGCTGATGGAAGGGGAGGTAACAAGGGCACAAGAAGGCGTCGGAGAGGGCGAGCTGAGGGCTTATGCTCATAGAGATATCAAGCCAGGTATTCCAAATTCCACCTCTTCCTCAGCATGACTTGACCCCTCAGTGCACTAACTCTTTCATTAGGTAATATAATGATATCTGACGACGGGCATACCCCAATCCTCATGGACCTCGGTTCTCTTTCTCCGTCGCCCACCCCAATCACCTCTCGATCTCTTGCCCTAGCAGTTCAAGACACCGCCGCCGAACACTCTACCATGCCCTACCGCGCTCCCGAACTTTTCGACGTGAAAACAGGTTCCGTCGTCGACACGAAAGTCGATATCTGGAGTCTCGGCTGTACTCTGTATGCGTGTCTCGTGGGGAAGAGTCCGTTCGAAGCTCGCTCTGAGGAAACGGGCGGCAGCTTGAGTATCTGTGTGCTAGGGGGGGATTGGAGATTTCCCAATGAAGGAGGTAACAAGGGGAAAGGGAAACAAGGCGCGGCGGCTAACGGTAACGCGGATGGTGGTGCTGCGGCGGCACAAGGTGGAGGGATCAATGATAGTGTGAGGGAGGTGGTCAGAGCTTGTCTCCAGGTTGAGCCGGCCGACAGACCGGATATCGACCAGTTGATTGACGTGATGGAGAGATGTATTGAAGGTCTGCCGGAGGATGATGGAAGTGCGGACTCATGATGAGCTGTCCCAATCTATTTTTCTTCAGCCTCTTGGGCACTTGGAAATGGCATGACTTGATAACTTTGTTTCGGCCATTCAGAGACTTCCACCGCCCGCCTGACTTGTCGAAATGCCAGACCCACTTCAACGCCTCGAAACCTACATGCATACAACAACAAATAGCCATGATCCAAGCCTCGCACAGCACATACGCCCAGGAGGTCACAATCAAACCAAGCCAGGTCTTTCCCAGCTTCATGGATCACGATGACCCCCTCCTCATCACCACAACCACAAGCCAAAGAGAGAGAGAAAGAGATGATAGGACGAACCAATTCCGAAACCGCCATCCACCAACTCAGAGACCGCTTACCCTCACGCAGTCGAGCTTCAAAACGTCAACTTGGACAGGAATCGCCAGCCGACACGGACGCGGAATGCACTCTTCTGCCCTGTCCTATTCCCTACCTCCCCCGGTCCTCCTCCTCCGTTGTCAACAGCGTTCTTACTCCCATCCGTTCCAGAACCTACGCATAAGCCATGAAGCTGGTTACCGGCATGTCTAAACCTCGATTGGGTTGACTGCAGAGGCGCAGCAATGAGCTTATAGCCCCTACGAAGATCATAATGTATCTCCTTTGCTTTTCACCAAAGCCATAATGTTATGCATGTAAAGCATCTCTTCCGCTCATGTGACTGACCACCACAAGGATTTCTCCGTGTTCTGGCCGGTGGGCTAGGCGGTTGTGTTATGGAAAAGAACGCATAGTGTTTTGGCATACCACACATGGGCCCCTTGATGAAAGACGGCTCGATTCCAGGTGTTATAAAAAATTAGCCCGAACGATACTCCCAGAACCATTTTCTCAGCTTTCAGCAACAACCGGTATTTACATTCCGCTGAGTTGATATATACATGATGCCGCCAGATAGCCCCACGAGTGCCTCCAGCGCTCCACACGGTGGCCGCCTCAATGTCTCATCCAAGAATACACAGCGGCCTTCCGACGAGTCAAACAATCCTTTCATTAGCTCTGTCCGTGACCCTAAACCTTCCGGAGCGTACAAAGTATACGGGCTGCCTACCACTGCAAGCAGGTGGGCTGAGCTGACTAAATCCGAGAACACGGCCGGCTTGACCATCAATACACTTTTGCAGGCAGACTCGGCGTCAGAAATTCGTCTTCCGCAATTCTTGGTTCTCAGAACCATATGGCCAGACCATACGTCGGTACTAATGGATTATCTTGTAAAACTCGGATTCCAGCAGACAGACTATGAAAGGAGAAAGGCAACGATGAGGGAGAACAAAGCATGGAAAGCATATATTGATTTCCTCGAAGAAAACTTTAAGCATCGGCAGTCCAAACCATACAGGTCAAGCAGCAGCTTTCCTGGTGACCTCGGAATATTCGGAATCGCACTTGGAAATCAACTTAAAATCTATGAGGAAAAAGTTTCAGCGGGAAGAACAAGCGTCAAGGAAGGGTTTGCGGCAGATTCAAAATCTAGACAACTCAGGCCACGTGCGCCCCTGCTGATGATGCCGGCCACACCGGAGCGTTCGTCGGGTTCTGTCAAAATGGACTTCGAAACGCCAGGCACTCCGTCACAACCTGTTCCCCTGCCGGCCGAGGATGAGGCTATTGTCAATTTCGCCCTGATTGCATTCTTGCAGGCGATATGGAGACTTGACCCAGCACATGACACTTGCTGGACACCGCACAGAAAAGCCTTCAAATTCGTGCCAACCTTACAAAATGATGTGAAAGGGAAAGGCTTCACGGCAGTTACCGATGGCCACCTGGAGTACTCCCCGAGTGAGCTTCGAAACAAACCTGCAGCAATCTTAGAGGTCAAGGCAGCTCATCGCGAACGGCAGAACCAAGGCAGGCACAGAATATACATGCAGGAGAGTGCACAGATGGCTCTCTGGATAGCAGCGGAGCCTGACAGCCACTGGAGAGCTCCTCTTCGATCCACCGTTGATGGCAATGCAGGTAAGGAAAAGGACGATAAATATTAGTAAGTTGTATCATGTCAACTAAAACAAGAGACTTGACTTTTATTTTGAGACTTTACAGCCGAGTTCTGATATCTCAAGACCGTGACGAGATATTTATCACACTTGCTGAGAACAAGAACCAGTATCTCGATTATCTGCATGGAAAGCCGGCCACAGACGAAGCCTTCCTCAGGATGTGGTTGTTTGGTCCTTATCGAATCAAGTCGGCCGATCATATGGAAAATTTTGGAAGTGAGATCAGTGAGCTTCTCTCCTATGCAGAAGCATCAGCGCTGGACGCTATTGGTCGAACACCCACTGCTCAGTCAGATCATTTCTCTGACGATGCAAAGCCGCTCAGAGCGATTCAAGTCTCCACTAACGTAGAAAAACTTGGACAACAACTTTCAAAGATGGAAATCAGCAACAAGCAGGAGTCGTCTGTAAGACAGCTCGACGAAAGGAACCACCACGAGGAAGCTTGACCCAGGCTGACGCTAGTTGACTGGAAACAACAGTCCTGACGCCGTGGAGTCGCTATGCGAGGTGTCTGCGCTAACTACAGTAGTGGCTATAGTGCTAATACAATACATGGTATCCTCTGGGGTGTGGAGTGTGGGTTCTGGGTTAGGGACGGACCAGTCAATCGGTCTGTGAACCAGTCCTCCGTATCACCAGCCACTTAATTAGTGACTGCTGTTCACATCACGAGCTCGTGATCTTGTTCAAGGATTGCTTTTGCCCTTGAAGGCCCTAAAGGCTGTTGGAGAAGTTCTTGATGCGAATTCTTTTCTCGCTAGCTGGACGTACAATTTCCACTTTCGATCATTGCGAGATTTCTTCAATTGGACAAGTCAGAGAGAGAGGATCGAAACCCCCGCTGCCGCTGGGGCATCATTGAATAAACTAACTAGTCAGTCAGTCGAGTCTGACAGTGCCGCCTCCTCCTTCCGTGTTTAATTAAGAGAAGCAACGCCTTGCCCCCACCCCCCTTGGCTCCACTGAAAAGTTCGCGTGTATAAGATAGACAGCTAGATCCTGCGAGCAGAAAACCCCCCAATACTCTCCGTCGCTCACAAATGACCCCTTCCGAACAAACTTTAAGTTTTTCAATTATAGACGCGTCCCGCTCCAATACTCCCGTTGATTTAATCAGGAAGCAATCCACCCACTTTCATATCTCTTGACATCACACCCCAATTCCATCAACCAACCACACACACAAACTCTCTCGCTCCCTTCCTTTCCTAAAACGCATCCTCGAACGGACAATCCACACTCTCATGTCCGTCCCGCTCACATAACGCGCACCACTTCTCCTCATCGATCACGCCGCTTGCTTTACCGGCCACCATTCCCAGATCGTTTGGATTCGGGTGTGGTTGTTTTGGTAGAGCTGATGGTGGGGGAGGAGCGGGAGCGTCTTTTGGTAGTGTCGACGCTGTTAGGGGTCGGCTCGCGACACTTGTAACACTGGAAAGACTTGGCATTGGCCTGAGGGGAGCGATACGGTTGCCTTCAGCGTGGGATTGGAGTTGTGATGGTGACGGCTCATGGGTTGCTTCTTTTACGAGATCGCTGGTAAAAGGCGGAGTCATTGACCTGAAGTCATCTTGGGAAGGTTCTCGCCCTTGCTCTCGTTGTGCTCCCCCTTCTTGTTGCTGGCCCATGAACATGTTCGTGCAGGTTAAAATATCGTGGCCGCCTGTCTCGCAGATTTCGCACCACAGGCCACTGACGTCTGTGACTGTTGAACGCGAATCCGCTTCGTGCATTGTTTCCAGCTGCGAGGGCGCTGAGACGCCTTTCTGGTCACGCCAGTCTCCGGGCACGATGGTCCGATCAGACAGTCGATGGCTTCCGATCGTGTCGGCGCTTTTATGTTTGTCTGCTGCTTCTGAGCTACGGAGGCGTTCGAGCTCTCGCTCCAATTCTCCTTCGCGGGATGACTTCCTGTCGAGAAGTACTTCGAGCTCTTTCAATCTTTGCTCCAGCTCGATTATCTGCTCATGCTGGACGCTGTGGCCCAGACCATTAACGTGACCATTTGTCTTGACGTTAGAACCTGCCGGTGCATTTCCGCTGAGGGAGTGGATGATAGCTTTTAGGCCTCTGATTTCATCATCTTTCGCCTCAAGTCCCCGCATGCTGCGGTGGCTGCTGTGGCTGCTGCCATTCTGACCGTTGTCTTCCCTCACGGCAGCAGCTTTGCTCCTCTCGCGCTTCAATTCAGATCGTCCTCTTTCGACCTCCCCCCGTAGGAACTCCACTTCTGCTCTGGCTTCCGCTTCTCCCCTTCTGGCGTCCTCTAAACCCTCTTCTAACTCTTGCACTAGATCTTCCAGCTGCCTCAGCTGCTGCGCCACCGTCTGGACATCCTCACCACGGTCCTGCAGCTCGCGTACTTCTTGGAGGAGCTCATCCACTCGTTTCTCGTAAACACGCTCAGTCTCTGTGCTGGCCATTTCTAAAGTATCTATCGTACTTCTGAAATCGGCACGATGGGCATCAAACTCAGCGATGAGCATCTGTATCTTCTCATTCTTATCTCGGACTATATTTCGCATTTGTGCAACGTCAGACTCGACAACAACATCCCGCCTATGGTCAAGAGATTCGTAATCCGGAGGTAGTAGCGACTGAAGCTCAGAAAGCGATTTCTCCATTTCTGATAATGTGGCAGCTTGCTCTTTTAGTTGACCGTCCTTCTGCTCCAGACTTACTTTTAGCCTTCTAATCTCCTCATCTTTCATTATGTGATCGTTCGTCTTCACAGGCGCAGGCGCAGGCGTCGGCGTAGGAGTAGGGTCTGACTCGTCGTCGAAAGAGAGTTCAGGACCAAGAGGAGCTCTTGAGGGTGTAGCAGCAGGGCCATGAAGACTACTTCCGAAGTTTGATGACCTGCTTGTGGGGCTCTGGCCGTACCGGGAGCCCATCCCCACCTTGTTTCTGGCCATTGGACCAAGTGAGGGGCGCGAAGCTGGTGTCGAGAGCTTGGGTAGGGGTTTGGCAGGAGTACTCCGCAAAGGTGAACCAGGTCGTTGCAAGGACGGCCTTCGCGATGAAGGCTTCAGGGCAGGACTGGCTGCTCGTGCTCCAGGCCCTATCGACTGGCTGAAGTTTGGTTTGGGCAGGACGGATGTTCGTCCGCCTTGATTAAAAGTTGCTAGTGAAGGCGTGGTCGGCGTGGCCGGTCCCCTGCGTATGGCCTTTTCGACGGGAAGAAAGATTCCCGAACCAGGCTTGGTTGTTTTGAAATAGTGCCTCCCATCCACATCGCCACTGTTTTTGCCCCTGATAGCGAATTCTGCGGCCAACTGCACGCCTGCAAACTTGCCCTTCTTGCCTGCGACTTCGCCAACAAACTTGACGATGCCATGCATGCCACCAGGCACGTCCACCGTCTCACCTACTCTAGGCTCCATGGCTCTTAGCTTTGATGAGATCCTGAGGAGCAAATGCTCACAAAACGAAGGAAGTGAATAGCAGATCTGGTTCAGCTGCGGAAGGAGGGTTAAGGAATGCGCGGGTACCCGGGATGAGAGATTTTTGTAAGGATGCTTGTCGTTCAATTAGTCTGTTCTGACGCGTTTTGCAACACTGCAAGTCGCCGAGAAAGTTCTCTTCATCGAATCGGATAGATAGTCGAAGCGCAAATGGTTTGTGATGGGAGATGAATTGTTCTTTTAGGACCAGGACACGATCTGCCTCTTGCCGCGTAAATAGACCCGGATCAGCACAGGGGGCTCCCCGCCAAAGCATCTACTAGCAAATACCAGAGACGCTAAGCCCTTTATAATTAGTGTTCTTCGATAGAATAAATGATAAAACTCGACAAATCCAGCGGGTAATTTCCTAGAGTTTCTTCAACACCGCAGCTAAATCGCATAACCTTTCGCTAAATCAAGTCAAACACGGCAAATGGACTTGTTAACCAAGCTATGAATACACTGAGGAGATTCTGGACCGTCCCCCATCCATGGAAGGAGTTTCTAAGCTTGCATTCATTCTGCCTGATCCCTGGTGTGGAGCCCATTTTTGGTTTGGTACGGAGTACACGTGGTCCAGTGGAAAACGGCCATATCTCTGTATTGTAAAGGAAGCCACTTCTGGTTCATCGCTAGATGCCCAATTTCTAAGGCTCGATTGTATGTCTCTTCAGTTACGTTCACCTCATTTGAAAGGGCTTGCTTGATGAGGAAGCTTCTGCAACCGAATATTTGAGGATTCAATCGAGCAATCTGGAGCACTGTTGAGGGCTCCAGGAACTAAGAAATGCATAGGCAATGCATAGGCAATCCTTGTTGGATCTATGCTTCACAGCCAGCCAAGTGGTCACGTAACAGTTGGGACGGACAGAGGTTAATTTTCCCGGTAGAAGAGTAGTACCCGTTGCATAATAGAAACAGTGGAGACAAAATGGGTTGGAACGATGAGTATCAGAGGTCAGAATGTGTGAATGTACGGAGTACTCCACTGCTCTGTGACCAGAAGGATGAAACTTCATAGGGACAGCTTATGTAATTGAGTGACTGAGCAGCAGGATGCTCGTTTTAGGCGTTTTAGGTCGTCTGTCGGGAGAAACTTGGACCCCGCAATTGAGACCTATAGTGCATAAAACTCCTGGCCCAGAGGCCCCTTGGAACCGACTAGTGTCTACTAGTGCTTCAGCGCCTAAGGCGTCAAATGAGGGGCGTCCGGGCGTTGTGTGTCCATGGAGCATGATCTCGGCGAAACAATCTGTCAAACCACCTCCGTCACAACCATCAATCATGCTTTGACTCTCCAGAGCAGTCCTATGGTCGAGACGCTCCTCGGTGTGGCAGCACCGATTGTACAATGCATGCTAGACCAAGGTTACGGCCTCAGACTGTCAGAATCTCAGAAATGAACTGCCAGGATCTCCATCCTTTCATAGGCTGTTGTCTGGTATAAGAACAGGCAAGTATTCTCTCTGGATTTCATTTTCAGCATCATTCAAACGACAGTCTATTCATCAACAGAATCTGGTATTCTAACAAAAGCTTTCCTCTAAATTAATTCAACTAATTCAATCTTTTTCCCAATCCCCTCATTAATCAAACTTCAATCTACTACTTCAACCTCCAATCACTCAAAATGGCCGGCTTCATCCTCAAGAACTCTGCAATTGCTTTCCTTGCCATGAACTGTGAGTTCATAATCCTACCGCTTCCAAAAACCCGTCTTCTTTGCTCGACTAACAATCTTCCTCTCAGTGGCTTTCATGGTTGCTGCTCAGGGCACACAATTCATCACTGGAGAATGCACGAGCGATGCTGATTGCGCATCTGGATGCTGTGGCTTCAACACCGGAAAGTGCGCAGGTGCCATTGTCGCCCAAGGACGCGATGGAGGTTGTGGATTCGGTGATGATGCGCCCAACGACACCGCGGCGAAGGCTCTTGGCTTTGGGGGATCCTCTCCCGCCAACGGAGGAGGAGCAGCAGCCCCAGCTGGTGGAGCGGCAGCCCCTGCGACTTCATCCGCAGCCCCAGCTGGTGGAAGCGGGAAGGCCCCTGGAACCCAATTCATCACCGGAGCATGTGCCAGCGACGCTGAATGCGCCTCTGGCTGCTGTGGCTTCAACACTGGCAAGTGCGCCGGTGCAATTGTAGCTCAGGGCCGTGATGGAGGCTGTGGATTCGGTGATGCTCAGCCCAACGACGACGCTGCTCAGGCGCTCCGAGGCCAGTAAAGCGCTGACTTCGAAAATCACAATCCATTTGCCAACGATGCACCGCCAAAACAGCTGATATAAGTCGCGGTCTTTCGCCTTGCGGCTGTCTGCTGGAGCCTCAGGGAGATGTTAGAATAGACTGATAGATTCGGGTATGGGCCTCTACGCTGCGCGTGGAGCACATAGTTGGGAATAGACTGATTTGAATTTTCATCTGACAATTTTCGGGAGCATTGTGATTCTCACTATGGTACCATGCGATGACCAGTGGTGATATCTACCCATCGAAGCTGCATTGCGCTCTTTGGGCTGGGATGCCCCAATGCTTTCAACCAGTGATACTCACTGAATATAGGTAGCCGAATCGGCTGAAGGACAGGGTATACTCCACAGATCTGTCTATAGATCGCATTTTGGATCGCTAAAGAGCAGTCACCTTCGGTTTGATGCCTGTTATGGAAAGAGAGTTTCCTAATGCAGGCTTGGCTTAAGCGCTATCCTAGTTGACTAACTGGGTCGCATCAATTCGTCGTTGTCTCGTCTCCATTTCCCATCCGAACTGGTGCTGGAGCTCGAATTTGTACTCCGTGACGTGCCTATTCACGGTGGTTCAGAGCCTTAGTTTTGTCTCGTCATATTTCACCCATTTTCCAACTTCCGCATCGGCGCCCTCCAGACCCATATTCACGGATTCCAAGTACGCGACTCGTAGAACCCTTATCCCACTTCCTCTTCCAGGCTGCAACAATCTCGACTCTCTCTCAAGGATCCCGGTCCCGACGAGTTCTGCCTCAGAATTTCTCATTGGGCTGCCTTCTCCGTACTTCGTTGGAGTCACTTGCCCTTATCCATATGGGAGAAGAGATGTTGATCGCAGAGACTTGAGCAAGTTTTTTTTCGAGAGAGCATCATGTTCAACTCTAAAGATTGGACAATAGTTAAACAGAAAAGTGGCTCATCATGCGTTTGCTTTGTACCATGTAGGTCCTGAATCTCGCCAGCCAACCACTGTTTGCCCGAGTGATCTGGGTTAGATAGCACATTTAAGCACACTGCCAGCCTTTTCGAGACTAAACGATTTCGTTGGAGCTTACTCTCTTCGCCTAGAATGGGCTTGCCCCTGGTCTCTTAATTGAGTTGTGTCATGCAATTCATATGCTCCTGCCCCTATGCTACAGGATCATCCGGCCGTACTGCATCCTCAAAAGCACCAAGTGCGGGAATCAATCTGTTGGAGGCATCTTTCTTCCAAACTTCCCAAACCTGGGGCTTTGGGCCCGTCAGCAGCCTCCCTTCCTGATCAGAATCTTTCGTATGTCGAGGAGCTTTAGTATTCTGCAGCTGGACTCTCAACCCTCACAAATGGTAGTACGGAAAATGGTTTGGTACTCCTGCGGTTTCTGGCTCTCTGAAAGCTGATGACCACACCCTTTATCATGATAGTGTTGTGTTTGGCTGCATTACTGTCGTGCCTGTGCTGCCGCAGTTAGCTTGCCAATGTTGGCAATGGTGCGCTCCCTGGTGAGCTTTGAGAGATAATATGTGTTTGAGGATTAGGCAGTTTAGCGTAGAATGGCTTTTCACCTCACTGGACTCAGCATTGCTAGAGCGGCAGCTCGTTATGTCGTGGTTGGAAAGTACAGCCCCGCGCGAAAGTATCCGGCCAAAACGCGTCATTTTTGAACACGCGTTTTTTTACACCCTTTTTCAAACAACTACCATGGCTCAACGCAAGGCTTTGGCGCCTCTTGAAATCAATAGAAGCTATGGCAAAGAGCTATCTCCATACCAACGAGGTCAAATTTCGGCGTACAAAGCCCTAGGGCTCACAAGTCGAGAGATTGGTCAAAATCTGCATTGCGGCAAATCCACTGTTTCTGATATCATTGTTCAAAATCCAGTACGCAACAACGGCAAAAGCTTGCCTCGTTCAGGACGTCCTCAGGCCTTAAATAGGGTCCAAAAACGCAACATTTTACGCATTATTCGTATCAATCCGAAGATTACTTATCAAGCACTTCAGTCCGAAGTTGGTACTAGTGTTCATC